AGGATGGCCTGGAGAGAGGCAAAGTGCTTTGAGGTTTGCGAAGTGCTTAACAGTTATCTTATTTTATCCTCACAACTACCCTGGGAAATAGATGCTATTATTATCCCCATTTTTCAGTTGTGGAAACTAAGGCTGACAGAAGGTACATATAAATAGAAAAACAATACACCCATACACAATTAAAATTCAATTCAATTCAATAAGTGACAAATAATTTTTGAGCACTGTGGTGTAGTTGTTTTACAGCCAGAGAACATAGGTTTGAATCTGGTTAATTACTTCATGTGGGATAATGGGCAAGTTTCTTAACCTCTCTGAATAACAGATTTTCTCATCAATGATTGTCCAATTTGTGGGTGAGACAAACAGATAACATACTGGATGACAGGATCCAAAATTATCTTGATAAACTAAATCATTGAGCTGACTCTAATAAGACGAAATTCTATCAAGATGAATTTAAAGACTTGTACTGGGGTTCAGATACAATTTTAAAAGTACAAGTTGGTAGAGACATAGTTAGAGAGAAAGGTTTTCAGAAAAAAGATCTTGGGGGGTTGGAATACAATAAACTCAACATGAGTCATCAATGTAATATGGTACCCAAAAAATTTAATGTGATCTTGAGTTGCATTAAAAGTTATAACTTCTAGGAATAGGGAGATGATAATCCTTCTATATTGATCATTCACTCAACAAATATTTATTAATGCCTGCTTTGTGCCAGACAGTTTGCTAAGCAGTGGGGACACAAAAAAAAGTGAAAAAGTTCTTGCCCTTCAGGGGCTCTTACCACTGTGGTTAGACCACAGGCGGAATATTGTGTTCAGTTGTGAAGGCCACAGTTTAAAAAGGGCATTGTTAAAATGAAGAACATTCAGAGGACAATCACACCATATTAAGGGACTAGAAACTTGTATCCCAGAAAAAAAGTCCATTAGAACCATGTCCAAATATTCAAAGAGCTATCATGTGGAAGACATATTAAACTTGTTCCAGCTGACAACACTGGGCAGAACCTGAATCAATGGATAGAAATTACATGGGAAAAATTAGGCTTGCTTTTCAAGAAGAAATTACCTAATGACTAAAGCTGACCAGAAATGGGATGGGCTAACTTAGGGGTACTGGATTTCCTCTCATTGGAGCTCTTCAAAAGGGTCTGGATGACTCCTTCAAGGATATAGTAGGGCCTCCTTTTGGGTATGGGTCACAACTCTCTTCTATATCTAAAATTTCTCTGATCTTACAGAACTATAAATAAAAGGGCCTGGACTAGAAGACCTCTTAGGTCCCTTAGAGCTCTAAAGTTATAATCCTATAAAACGTTTCTTAAATTAAATTAAATAAACAAGAGGACCCACAAACTTACTAAATATATAAAAATTAAAAAAGAGACACATATATAATGGAAACATGTACAGAAAAATAAGAAGCAATAAGGAAAGAGTCTTTTACAACACACTTAGGACAGAAAGTAGGGAAGAAGTGGTATGTCTCTATCATCCTTCTACTGATCCAGATTTCAGGAAGATTTTTGAATGATTATATTTCTTCTCCTATATTAGGAAGTATTCCACAAGGAAATCATAGAATACTTGAGGAGAAAAGGATAGATATGTAATAATTAGTAAAAACAGTATTATATCAACATTTTACAATGCTAGTACTTGGTTGGATAATACAATTACAGAATAACACAGTATATGAGATACTAATAGAGCAGTAAAAACAGTAAGGGCTAAAAGGGTTAGAAAAAAAAAACACCTTTGTCTTTGAAACCACACTTACTGTGAGGTCCCTATGCTTCCTAAGAAAGCAACATAAAATTGTTGATATAGATTGTGTTTAAGAAAAAGGAACACTGAATTTACTATATACTTCTCGATTGTAAAACTTTATTTCTAGTTTTCATCATGAACAGTGTATTCAAATATCTTAACATGGTCACACATGGAAGCAGTAGGAATAACCCATAAATCATACTTGCATGATAAAAGCTGTGGCTCACAGCTTCCATAATCTGCAAATACTGCAGTGATTTGCTCTCACATCTTGGAACAATTCTTCCATTCCCTTCATTTAATGTCAATAAAGACAGATTTAATGTAGAGGAACAGACACCTAAGCACACACCATGTTAGCAATGTTTTTTTTTTTTAAAGCAAAATACTGAATGAACTAGGGCAAAGATACTTTTCTGCCTTACAAATATCATGTACTTTTCATTAAATATTTGACATACACTATTTCTGTACTCATAGCACTTTTCTATTCTACTGAGTATTTACTAGATGGTCACAGTACAAACTACTCTAAAATAATCTAATTAAATTATCTCTTTATGAGTTCCAACAGTTCCCCAAACACTGTATGCATTCTGGTGTCTAAATTACTTCTCAAATTATCTCTAATGCATTAAGGATATTTTCTAATGGCCTTTAAAAAAAATCAACATGTTCATGTCACAATTTGCTTATTTAAGGAAACTTAGTTCCAGGGAAAGACTTGGGCACTAGGAAAAATGTAGCTCATTTTTTCCTACAGTCTTTAGAAATAGGTAAGACACGCACTATCTCCCCTTTTAATAAGTCAGAACAGAAAGATGAAATGATCTGTCTAAAATCACATGTTATCAGTGGCAGGAACGAGAACCTTGATTTTCTTTGACTTCTATGCCAATACAGGATGAAGCATAGTGTGATGGAAGGAATCTTGGATGAGATACCAGAAAATGCGGTTTTGAATTCTGACTCTACTATTTACTATATCCTTTTTTCAGTTTGGGTCTCGTTCTCATATCTAAAATTAGGCTTTTAATATTGTTATTGGATGGCAAGAATGCCAAATTTCCTTCTACCTATAATATCTCATCTACTGTGTTTTAAAGCCTATTCCAATTCTTCCATTCTATTTCACATTCTTAGTCCCTGTTGCTTTTAGGACATTTTTAAAAGTTTTGCCTGACCTTCTAAAATCATTCTGTAAGTAGCTTTTATATATATCTATATATCTATATATCTATATATCTATATCTATATCTATATCTATCTATCTATCTATCTATCTATCTATCTATCTATCTATCTATCTATCTATCTATGTACATGCTATCTCCCCTATTAACATGCAAGGTCCTCAAGGGAATGGACTCTTTCTACTGGTTCTTTCCCCAGCCCATAGCACAGTGCCATTTGACACAGTAAACAAAAGATGCTTGTTGATTGATTCATGTCCTTTTCCCTTGATATTTTTACCCAACTTGTTCACATCCAAGCAACCAATGAGACAGATTCATTCTGCACAAAAGAATTCAACTACCATCTGCTTTGCATATCAATGTTTTAAATGGCATGCTGTGTTTGTGTATCTAACCTCCTACGGTGGGTATGTGTCACCACTGACCTGAAATTAATGGAATGACAAATCTTTGGGATGCATACTCCTGCCATCCTTTTATTATTAATGTCCAATATAAGTAATAATGTTCATTTACTTTTCATTATATTTAGAAATCTCACCATGCAAACAGGAATGCAGCAATAATCAGTGAGTATATGGCTCTTTTAGGAAATCTGTGGTCTATGTCAGAGATAGAGATAGTTAGAAGCTATGATTTCATTTGTAAAAAGAACTCCCACAAGAGGAAACTTCTACCAATGCCTCTAAGCACCTTCTCTATAACTTACTGCTTAGAGAACACTGAGTTAAATAACTTGCCTGGGTCACATAGGCCAGTATGTGTTAGAGACAGGCCCTGAACCCAGGTCTTCCTAGCTCCAAGTCTTGCATTCTACCCATTCTGCCTTTTATCAAACATCACAGTACCATAAATTCCAAATACTAACATTAAGACCTTCAAATGTCTTAAAATACTGACAAAAGCTTCCAGAGAATCAGGTTCAATTTATGAAACTTGATTACTCCCAAATGGTGTTCTAGTTTCAAGGATTAATACACTATTAATTTATAATAAAAACCACCCACAAAGTGGAGGGAATATGCTATTGCCAAATATTTTTTAAAACTCACAAGCCTTCTATGTATACAATTATATATTAAATGTTGCAAATATTTTAAAGGTTGTAATTCATTCATCTAATAAAAGATTACCTTATTAAAAACTGCTAAAATGTAGAATGTCTTATTTTTAAAATTTTCTCTACCATTAAAAAAAAGGGAGGGGGAAGCATTTTATCCTCAGATGCACAAGGGAAAAAAGCACTTAAGTATCACAATTTAGGGGAAAAGTAAAAATTAGAACTTAGGTTTACACTAGCAGACCACATAGACCATTTTCTTAAATAAGGGGGAAAACACACCAAAATATGTGATTAGAGAAATTTTAGGGTTTTTTGATTACCTCTATCAAATGGAAAAAAAAATAGGCATAGAAAAATATTCCTGTCTTTATAATGTATTGCATAATTTTAAAAGCATGTGTATATGCAATAATGTTGTATAGTACATTATATGTCTCAAATGAAAAATGAGAATGAAAGCAGAGAACCTCAAGCACCTAAGAGCACAAATGTTACAATTATCCTAGCAATCTGTTCTGTATCACCACTTCTATAAACTGACTATTTTCATTTTTAATGTAGACTCATGTTTTAAAATTCCACAGCCTTCAATCATTAGTCAGACTGTCCTCTCAAACTTAGTTGTATGGATGCCTAAACTTTTCCATGAAATAACAGAGCAGGAATAGGAATGATATGAATTGACCTGACACTCAATGGTTTTGTTTCACGTTTTTTACAAGTATTAGGACACTCCATCTGAAGAAAAAAATAGTAAACACACACACACACACACACACACATATTTAAATTCTGAAAAAGAAAAGTTCAGATCCAGGATGATTCTTAAGCATATATAAAATTTATTTGTAAGTTAGAGAATTTTGTGTTCAGCTATTCTCACAGGAAATGTAATGTTATCAACAGAAATAAAAAAAATCTTAATGAAGTGACAAATTTATATGAAATTGTAAGTGATTATTAATACTGACAAAAGTTTATTTCAAAACATGGGAAGGTGTAAAGCATAAGCATTAAATGTATAAAGGTAACAAACCACTGAATTATTTATGATTCTACTTTTCATCATTACACAACCCAATCCTTGCTAGATTTTGATGTTATATTCCTTTAGGATTCAGTGCAGTTAAGACAATTCCCTTTTGCAAACAAATAAAGGCAAAATGACAAATAAGGAGCTAGAGTCAATGATCGAGAAATCCTGAGTTTCTAACTTTCAATGTACTATCTGTAACATAAAAAGGAGGCATGATTTTCTATCATATCTAGTTCTTAAGTCTAGCTTCCCAATTCTAAGGTTCTACCTTATACCCATCTGATTGGCAAAGATGATAAAAAAGAAAAATGACAAATATTGGAAGGGTTCCAGAACAAACATATTAATGCACTGTTGGCAAAGCTGTGAACTGGTCCAGCCATTCAGAAAAGCAATTTGGAACTATATCCCCAAAGACAATAAACTGTGTGTACTCTTTGACCCAGCATTATATAGTGACGCCCATCAATTGGGGAAACTCTTGAAAAAATTATGGTAAGGGATGATTTCAGAGAAACCTGGTTGTTTAAAATGACGCAAAGTGAAGTAAATAGAATCTGGAGACTAATTTACATAATAACAATAACACCAAAAAGGCAAACAATTTCAAAAGATTTAAGAAGTCAGTTTGATGCAATGATCAACAATGATTCCCAAGGGAACCTTAGCACTGGGGAAGGAAACATGAGCTGTTCTCTTGAAAGCGTTTCCTCTCTTGGCCTCATCCTGACTGCAGGGTAGAGAGAAATGCCATTCTAGTCTTCTTGCTGGACCTCTTCCCACCTTCTGGATACTTACCATACTTCTTCCTGTCTGCAGGGAAGGGACAGAAATGCCATTCCATCAGGCCAGTCTCCTTACCTGGTGCTTCCTCTACCTATCTCCTAGCCTGCACTATTCCTGCTAGCTTGGGAAGGAAACAGCCTTGCTCCACCCTGCTCTCACCACCACTCTCCTGGCCTGGCTGGCTGACACAGGGAAGGAAAAAAAAAATTATCCCATCTTTCCCAGTAGATTGTCCCTTCTAGCATCCCCATTCTTGTACTCATCTTCAGTATCTACTGGCTGCTTCCTTACCACCTACAAACAAATTCACATCTACGTCATCCCCATAAAGCCCCTCACTTGATCCATCCATACACAAAATATCTTCTCACATTTCTCCTCCATTTTGTGGCTAAATTCCTTGAGAAGGCTATCCACAATCGATGCCTCCCTTCCTTTTCTCTTACTCTTAACTCTCTCTAGTCTAGCTTTCCACATCAGCATTCAATCCAAATGGCTAGGGGTGGGCATGAGCCAGCTTATACCCTTGCTGATTATTAAATTTTCAGTGTGAGCATTGTTACCTTGGAAATAGCAAACTACAAATCAGGACTTGATTTGTTTTGTTAATTATTTATATTTAAGAAAGTGATAGAGAAAATGTTAATGCAAATCAAACTTAAAAGTTTATTCTGAGAACTAATTGTTAAAACATTTACCAGCAAACCCCTTAAAATGGCTCTGCCCAAGGTTATAAATGATCTCATAATTGCCAAATCTAATGACCTTTTTTCAATATTCATCCTTCTTAACCTCTGGTTGCTGATTACCCTCTTTCCCTTCTCTTTTTGTGACTCTACTATATCCCTATTTGCCTTCTAACTACTGCTGTCTCCTTTAGTGGATCTTTGTCAAGGTCATACCCACTGTCCCCTTCTCTTCTCTCATGATCTCATCAGTTCTCATGGATTTAATAATCATCTCTATGCTAACAATTCTCAGATCAACTTATCCAACCCTGACCTATCTCCAGACTATCTCAGAATGTCCAGTATCTCAATTAGATGGCCTATCTTAAACTCAACATGCTCAAAACCTATCTTCAACCTTTCCTTCTTATTGTTGAGGGTTTCACCATCCTCCCAGTCATCCAGTATCTCAACCTAAGCTGAGTCACCCTCAGCTTCTAGTTTTATCTCCCAAGTCCAATCTGCTGCCTAGTCCTGTCAACTTTACCTTTAAAACATCTTAGAGGTGCCCTCTTCTCTTCTCTCACACTGCCACCACTCTGGTATAGGCCCTTATAATCTCACACCTGGACTACCACAACAGCCTGCTGATTGGTCTCCCTGCTTCAATTTTTGACCTACTCCAGTCAGTCTTCCACTCGGCTGTTAAATAGATCTTCCTAAAGCACAGATCTGAACATGTGACTTCCCTATTAAAACTCAATTGGTTCCCTATCATAGAGAGAATCAAATGCAAAATCTGGAGTTTCAAAGCCCTTCTTAATCTGGTCCCCTACTCTTCCAGTCTTCAGAAACCTTACTCATCCCTCAAGTGGTCTGGAATTCAAAGACACTGGCCTTTTTGTTCCTTGCATAGGACATTCCCATCTCCACATAAGCCATTTTCACTGGCTGTCTCCCATGCCAGGAATTCTTTCCCTCTTCATCTCTACCCCTTAGCTTTTCTGCCTTCCTTCAAATGCTAAATAAAAACCCACCTTCTATGAAAATTCTTTCCCAATCATTATGTGCCTTTCCTCTTTTGGCTACCTCTAAATTTGTCCTGTATATGTCTTGTTTTCATGTTGTCTCTTAGACTGTGAGCTCCTTGAGAACAGATATTATCTTTCCATTGTTTTCTAAGACTTTAGCAGAATATAGTACCTACAGTATAGTAGACAATACACTCTTGTTGACTGATTATGATTTTGCTACCCACCTCCTCACAGATAAGTGATGGATTCAAGATGTAGACTGAGACATATATTTTTGGATATGGCCAATGTGGAAATTTGTTTTGCTTGACTATACATATCTTTGTAAGGGTTTCCCAGCCCACCTCTTTGGAGAGAAATGAGAGGGAAAGAAAAATGTTAATTAAAAAGTAAAATTAAAAACGTATTAAAAGTCTACCTACCCTTTCTTTAGCATTATCAAGATTAATCTCACAAGCAAAAATCCTATTTACTTATGAGAATCATTATAAGCCCTATTGTAGTTATCAGGCTGTTTGTTAGTTATGTTGGCTCCAGTAAGAAATAAAGTTCTGATTTGAGCTATGCAGTTATGGTTGGGTTTTTTTAATTATTATTACATCTTAAAAAAATTAATCCTCTAATAAGATTAAAATCTCTTGAAAATAAAATTCCATCTGATTTCTTACAAATTAATTGATTTGAATACGTTGAATATATATATAATATATATATATATTTATACATACACATACACACACACACACACACACACAGGGCACAGTGCTAGATCCTATAGAGGACAAGGTCCCTGTCTTAATAGAACTTACATTTTAACAGGGGAGATGTAAACAACTAAATTGAATTCAACACACAATTATTAAATGCCAATGTATACAAGCCACTGTGCTAGGCACTGGAGTATATAAAGGAAAAATGAAATGGGGACTGATCAAGAAGTTTATGTTTTGCTGTACAGCTTTTATATAACACATATGAAAGTTTAATAAGAAGCACTTTAGAGGAAAATTATTTCAAACTTGGAGAGCTAAAGGAATACTTCATGGAAATGGCATTTGAGCTTGGTCCTAAATGATGGGTATGAATTAGGCTAGCAAAGCTGTAGGGAAAGAGCAAAAAAGAGGTGCTATAAGTAAAGGCAAAAAGGCAAAGAAGGATCTAGTATTTAGGGGAATGGAAAGGAGTCACTTCTGGTCCCAGGGTGTATGATGGGGAATAGTAGGAGACAAGAGCAGACAGGACAGAATCAAATTATGTAGCACTGGAATGTGACGCCAAGGAATCAGTACTTGATTCAGTAAGTAGTACAAAAGCAAAGATTTCTTTGTGTAGGTGTAGATGGTATACAATATTATCTGAGCTTGCTTCAAAGAAAACTAATCAGCAACAATGTACAGGATATTTTAGAAGGCAAAAGACACCAAGAGTACAGTTATGAGTTAGAAGATTTATTAGTACATGCCAGATCTTCTAGTTCAAGGTATGGTGAGTTGTTAAAGGTTTAATATAAAGGTTAAAAATGAGAAAGAAAATACAACAATGAAGCAAACACCAGGAAAAGGAGAGAAAGAATAAGATAAAGGATACCATGGGCCAGCTAGCTTTATTTCTTCTTTTGAAAAGGAGAGGAAAAGACAAAAAACTTTTGAGTCAGGAAGGATGGAAGTTGGGAACACTCCCATAAAATGGCCTCTGTTGTCAAACTGAAGTAAAAAACAAAGTCATCTGCAGTGAGTAAAAGGGGGACTGATGAAAGCGGAATGAGTCTATAACAAATTCTGCAAGGAAAGCAATAGTAAGCCCATTAAAGATGAATGATTTTAAAGCCAAACTGAGGATCTGAGATTACATAGCATTAATATGTTTTGCAAAAAATCAATACTATTTTGTAACTTTCTCCAGCAATGCTCAGCCCCTAAAGCAGGAGGTGAACAACAGGACTACAAGATGACAGAGTCCATGGTGTTAGTAAAAGCAACTGAAATAATAATGCTGAGATTCAGTCTGAGCAGTGGAGTGGTGACACCAAAAAGAGTCAAAAAAGCTAGATTTCAAGGGTAAAAAAACAGCCAATTTTCATTTATTCCTATTTGTTGCATCAATGTGTTTTAACAATTTCAATAATGCTGAAGGATTATACGGAAAAAGATGTCTCCTGTGCAAACGGGAAATTGCCTTTTCTAGATCTTTCAAGCACTTCAATGCTTTACAAGATAGTACCGTTTGGGAGGCTCCTACACAACCAAAAGATGACAAAGCAGAAAACTCTTTCGGGTCTAGAAGCCTGGCAGCAGACGCCAGGTACTTCTGGCTCTTTCCTCCAGTCGCACTGACCGTTCCCCTTATCTTTGTAATGACCTGATGGTTTAAAGGAGTCTGTTTGATGTTTGATAAACATTCCTCCACTGACTCCTCTTCAGAATCTTCTGAGCCGTCATAATCGACTAGGCTCTGAGAGGCTCCCGATGAAGATGTATCATCAACGCCTATCAGGACACTGGGTTGCTTTGATTTCACAGTCTGGTTGTCTTTCCGTTCCATATTTGTTCCAGAAGTAGTAGTGTCAGAAGCCAAGGGTAAAAGAGCATAATAATTCGTACCACAGAACAGAGGCTGGTGAGTAGCTTGGTTGCTGCTTCTTTCTTCAACAAGTGAAGTGACAATACTAGAAGCATACACCTCATCTCTTAATTCTGCTGTATCGAATAACTCACAAACATTTGAAAAATTGTTTCTCTCTCCTTGCAGCAGTTTTAAATACCTAACAAAGTATTCAAGAAAGCAAGTTTCTGATGAAATTAAAAAGTCAAGTAGAACTGTTGCATCAAACCCAATATTTTTTAAGAGAAATAAGAAAATACAGTGAGGATTAAAGCCATTTTCATGTGTCTGATGGTCCCAAGTTTCTTTTTCTTGGGTCATGCCCTTAGCAGCTTCATTCCATGCTCTGTAAATAAATGTAGTTATACAATCCAGATTAAATATCAGCTCAACTACCAATTATTTTCAAAGCAAACAGACTTCAAAAAACCATCCTTTTCCAATATACTTAATAATCTGATCCAAAACGACAACTAGAGTGAAAAAAGCAAGATACTTAATACATTCAGTGTGACCATGACAAAATGAACATCTAAAGTTCACAGAGCAGTCATTTCATATGAAAAAATTCAAATTTATGCAAAATCAAATCCAATTTAGAAATATCCCCTTCATTGTGAGGAAATAAGAAACTAATTTTAATATAACTAAGATAAGTTCTAAAAGTTGAATATGTTTTCAAGCTGAATTTGCATTTGACCTTTTTTAAGCCTAACTCAAATCGCAGAGAAATTTATGTTCTTGATTAAAATCCTTTGAAAATTTGGCCCTAATAAACATTCAGTCTCATAACCGATGCTGCCAGCAATGTCATAATACAAGTAAGTACTGGCAGCAAAAAACTTCACTTAAGATCATTAATAAGTAATCTTTCTCACTAGCCAAGAAAAGAAGTGGAATTAAAGAAAATACTTTTTGGTTTCAAACAAAGCAGAAGCAAGACCAGTGTAAAAGGTTTCAAACAAAGCAGAAGCAGAACCAGTGTAAAAGGTCACCATAATTAATTATAGATACTGACTTTATGAAGATATCATCTCAAAATCATTTGCAAAAGAAAATAAAAATAAAATTCAAAAGAGACAGTTTGATTACATGCAAGTATATACTTACATCGACAAATATAAAGATGAAGATCATTTTTAAAGCAAGTAGTATATCTTACTAATGAAAAAATTATAGAATTTTAGAACTAGAAGAAATCCTCGACAGCATTAATGCAATTTCTCCACTCTACAAATGAAATATTAAAGCCCAGAGAAGATAAATTATATGACTTAGGTAACATAGTTACTTAGTAGAAGAACCTGGACTAGAATCTGGGTCTCGATCCCTAGTTCAGTATTCCTTTTGCTGTGCCACTTATAAAGCTGCCTCAGTTAGACAAGTTTTCATTGTGAGGACTGAAATTCATCCTGCTAATTTGTGTGTATAAAATTGGACCCCATCAGAAAGTAGGAATAAACACTTAATGGGAAACCACAGTTTTAGAGTTTGTTCCAGTTTTTAAAAAAAAGCAATAAATACTTTTAAAAGCAACTATTAAAGTATTCTCATTTTCCTGGGATTTACTAGTACAATAATTATTTTTAAATATTTTTATTGGGTTAACTAATAAAGACTATACCAACCTAGTAAGCTTTAGATAAATGCTTAATGATGCTTTTGCAGCTTCCAACATGTCATCGTCTTGTTCTATGAAGATTTTAGAGAGCCATTCACAGTGATGATGCAATTTCAGGGAGGAGTGAAGGTGCTGTTTTAAGAAGGTCAATAACTCGGACATGAACTTCTGTAATTCAGCTTTTAAAAAAAATCCCCAAATAAAATCATTAAAATACAATCAATACTGAAGTTTTCTATTTCTTAATACAAAATTCTTACAAAAACACAATGTTGTCAATAATAAAAGAAATACTAAAAAACATTTTCTCATGGTATCTCAAGAAGGCAAAACTAAGTTTTAAATGGCCAATGCAAAATAAAGTTATTCACTTAAACACTTAACTCACAAAGATACTTTTTATAAATCAATAGTTTACTTTAGGAAACTATGGACAAGGATAATTTTTCTCAAGTAAGTTTTTGTTAAATTTAAATTGATGAGTAGAATATGTATAAAAGATAATTATAACAAGTTCTATAGTGGAAATATGAATTATATAAATTCAAAAATGATTACTACTGACCAATTAAAGGTATGATATAAATAGGTGAAGCGTTATTATATAGAAAAACAAGTACCTTTTTAAAAACTTTTTAAAAATAAGTATACCACCAAAAGTGCTAATAAAATATCACTAAAACTTAAAACATTACACCTTGGGGATTTTTTTTAAACTTCAATTACACTAAAATTACATAGCATATGCCACCTAGTGTTCTAACTTATAACTGCATATGAAATAGAATTTCTAGAATGAAAGAGTAGAAACATCACGGATAAACTTGTAAGGCTTTTAATTTGTTGTAAACGACATCCTGGTGTGAAACTCTACCATCGAATATTCTCCTCAGGTAAGGCATATCCTGTGGTTTCTCGGAAGTAAAACCAAGGAATCTTTCACACCTAACCTGAAATGTCAGAATTTAAAGGGTCTTCATTTGATAGGTTATCAAAATGCAACATAATAAATTCATAAATTAACTTTCTAACTAGTCAATTCAACCAAAAATTCTCTATATGCAACAAATATAGTAATTCCCCAAGAGATCCTGAATAACTGAAGATTTCATGTAGCCATTGTTTTAGAAAATATGTCACTCGTCAGGTCCATTTCTAATTTTTATGTATTAACACATTACGTTGGCATGTATCATTCTTTTATACAGGGTTATCATAAAAATTCAATGCTTGTGTGACAACTAATTAATTTTGTTGGTCATTTTGTTCACAGATAACCAGATACTTACTATATTCTTAAAAATAATAATTATTTTCTCTAAAATCAATTTAGTCCATAAAACGGTAGCTGCAGAATATGCTCATTTAGAATTAAATGAAAATAACCAATTACACAAATTTATTTACATATAAATGCATTAATTTATGCATGGAAAATTATAAAAACTTAAATCATTTACATAAGTTTGGGGGAAATCTCATTGGTTCAAATTGGAAAATTTTATTAAAGCTTTAAACTTTGAAAATAGCTGATAAGATCATGTATCACTCTTCTTGGAGGGTGGGGGACAAATTGGCAAATTACCTTTTACTTCATTTGCTGACATACAATTATGCACCTTGATTTCTAAGGATTTCAGTAAAACCAGACTTGATGCTCTGATGATAATGAGATCAGGGACAACACCACTTTTATTTCCAGGTTGAACTTCATTGCCTCCAAAGTGGCTTGGTTTTGCACTAATAGATAACTGCTTCAACCATCCCAAATTCACAGCTTGCAAAAAAGCATTACCTAAAGCTAACATGTCCATATCTAAATAAGGATCTTGTTCAGTTAAAGTGGGAAGTGAAGTATTTAGGACATCCTCACCCACTTTATGTAGTAGGCATCTTTTAATAAGGATGATGAACTTCTTTTTGACTAAAGAGTGAATAGGCCAGGTAATAATATCCAAAGCACAAAATATTTTCAAATAAAAAATCCTCTGGCAAGTGAGATATAACTTCAAGTGAATTCTGGAGGCCATAAGAATTTCAAGCAACTCCAGAAAACAAATCAAGAAATTCGTAATTTTAGGATTTAATGACGTATCTTCGTAGTTTTCAAAATGCTGAGAAAAAACTGAACAGTAAAAGACTTCAAAAAGAAAATCAAAAGATGTCAAAAACTGCTTCAATATTTCTGAAACAATAAAAAAAGTAATTGTAAATGGGACATAGATGACTATGTAAGTGATTAAAGCACAATTAAACATACATATTAACATTTTTTGGGGGGCTAGGCAATGAGGTTAAGTGACTTGCCCAGGGTCACACAGCTAGTTAAGTGTCAAGTGTCTGAGGCCAGATTTGAACTCAGGTCCTCGGGACTCCAGAGGTGGTACTCCATCCATTCTGCCACTTAGCTGGCCCCATATTAACATTTTTAAACAAAATTTTAAGACTGATTTTATATTTGTCACAGCCAACATCATAAGAAAAACAAAATAACCAACAATTTCTAAGCATCTATTTAATCTAAATGCCTCCATGAGGACCTTAAAGTCTTATGTGGAAAGCCACTTAATAGAAAAATAGAATATAAACCAGAATAAGATAAAAATGGAAGTATAAAGTACTCTTAAGGTTAGAACTTGCAAAAGGAGGGAAGGGGAAAACTTGAACTTGCAAGACTATGTGGCGAAGCAGAAAAAACACTGGCCTGGTTGTCTGGGGACTTAGATTTTAAGATTCAAATCCTGCCTCTGACAGTTATTACCTGTGAGACCTGGACAAGTTATTTATCCTCTCTGGGCCTCAATTTCCATTCTATAATAATAGAATGAGGCAACTGGATTAGACAGTCTTTTCTAGCTCTAAATTCATAATATATAATCTAAAGGTCACAGGGTTACATAATAATCAAAAGCTTCAATTTCTACTTCAAAAATACAAACTTATTTTAAAAGTTAGCATATTACTCTAGGACTTTCAAAAGTATTGTGAGGAAGGCCTGTCTTACTTCAGAGACAGATGGGCAGTTATGAAATAGAACTCATTCTATAATATAAGCATGAACTTCTTCCAGTGGTAATGATACTTAATTATGTTGAAAGAATTGGCACCTGCTTTCTGTAAACATGTAGTCTTCAATATTTCTTTTATTACAGCTGTAAGAATCCAGAGACAATATGAGACTGTATTACTTTCAGGGTAGTCAGAAAGAGTTTTTAAACAAAAAGCTGTCCATGTTTTATTTACTACAGCCTATAAGAAAAAAAAGAATAAGGTATGTTTTAAATTCTACCACAAATCAATTAATTCTATATAAACATTTAAAAATTAAATATTCTTTTGTCAACAAAAATTTAGTTTCTCTCCCTCCTGCCCTTGCCATTAGAAAATAATGTTTTAAAATGTAGTCAGGGAAAACAAATCTTCTCATTGGCCGTGACAAAAAATGTCTCACTCTAAATTGAATACTTCACCTCTCTGTCAGGAGGTAGGTAGCACACTTTATAATAAAATATATTATCGTGGGACCTTGGGAATCGTGCTAAGCCACTGTATTGTCTTTAAAATGTCAACGTTATTGTATAAATTGTTCTCCTAGTTCTGCTTACATCAGTTCAAACAACTCTTCCTAGGTTTCTTTGAAACCATCCTTTCATACTTTTTTACAGCACAGTATTATTCTATTACATTAACATACTAAAATTTGTTCACAACCACTTCTCCATTTGATAGGCATCCCCTTGGTTTCCTGTTCTTTGCCACCACAAATAGCTATGATGAAAATTTTTTTACACGAAGATCCCTTTTCTTTTTCTTTGATCCCTCTGGGATATAGGCCCAGTAGTGGTATAAACAGGTCAAACAGTACACAAGTGTATTGACTTTTTGACAACAGTCCCAAAATACTTTTAAGAATGGCTAAATCAATTTACTGCTTCACCAACAGAGTACTAATTTGTCTGTTTTACTAGTCCCTTCATTTGTCATTTTCCTTATCATCTCTGTCAATGGGATGAAAGCAATGTAAAACTCCAAAGTTGTTCTAATTTGAATTTTTCTAATTATTAGCATTTTTTTATATGGCTAATGATAGATTTTATTTCTTCCATAGATTTGCCAATTCATATAATTTGACTATTTATCAGTTGGAGAATGACTTTTACTCTTTTAAATTTGAATCAGTCTCATATATCTGGGAAATTTTACCCTTATCAGAGAAGTCTGGGGCAAAGATTTTTTTTCCTCGTTAAACATTTCCTCTTTAATTTCTCCTTCAAAGATTTCCCCTCCTACTTATCATTTATCATTCTAATTTTAGCTGCATTGGTTTTATTTGTGGGGGAAAAAACTTGTTACTTTTACATAATCAAAATTTGCCTACAAGATATTTATACCAAATGATATTCCTGCTCATAATTTTAGAATTCTATGAAAAAAGGAAGCTGAATAGGTTGTGTGAAATTACATATTCTAATATTATTCAAGCCAGTAAGTGATATTAATTGCTATTTGTTTATTTGTGAAGTAGAAGTTAAAATATAAAAGAGGAAATGAAGCTGAACTTGTTTGTGTATAGTATAAATGTGTATATATGTATAGAGATAGATACGGCAGGGGGATTATGTTAAAGGCTATTCTTAAAAATTTATACTAACTTATATACTGACACTAGACTTTATGATAATGACCTATTTGAGTTTTTGGATTCGAATTCTTTACTCTAACATTTACATTTTTAGAATGTTACTTAGCACAATACAGCACTAATCAGAGAATAAAATTTTATCAGCTGCAACCCACAGTTTAAGAAACACTAAATGGATTGTAAGGGGAAAAAGTTTTAGAAGCCCTGTTTTAAATGAAAAAGAAAGAAATCTCAAAATAATAACTTGAGTGATTTTTAAGAAAGTTTATTTATAAAAGAAATACATCATTTGGTAACAATTTTCTATACTCACCTTTTCTCTTAGTTGTAAATACAATAGTGAGGCAAGACACTTTGCAGCCATATGTGACAACAACTTATCAGAACTGTGGAACGTGCTGATCTGCATAAAAGCAAATATCCATATTTTTAAAATCTGAGTTTTAAATGCTAAACCTTGACAATAATATTTTTAAATTTCAAAAAAACTTACTAATTTAGATTCCAGTTCATATGGCTTTAAAAGAATTTCAATTATATCACAATATTTCTCTTGTATACTGAATTCCAATTTTTTAGATAATATTTTGGTTATCATCATCTTGATGACTGTTAATTGAAGTAGCATTATATCTCTGGGATTACTAACTTGAAAATTCATTTTCAAATTTATTGATGTAGAAGGAGTAGAAATGCCATCCATGTTGACAGAAGTGGCTTGATTACCATGATGAACACATGGCCATTTCAGGAAATTTGATGTGGATAAATCTTGGGCTGAAAAAGGTAGATTGAGATAAAATGCATATTCTTGGCTGTCACTTTCAAGTGGAGCTCCAAGAAGCATCTTCTTATATAACTGGTCTAAAACTTGATAGGAAGCTTCCATTTTTTTCCCAAAATGTTATTTGTTCAATCTCAATTTTCTTGAATAATTGTAGTATCTCCAACCTAAACACAAGCAGAATATTCCTTCAAATATACCTAAAATAGAAACAAATACAACAGCATTAAAAACTTCATTTCTAATACTACCAATTAAACTCTTTCTATTCAATCACTTAATTTACTTTTAAAACTAATGATAGGCAATTAAAAAAAAACTTTTAATGCAACATGGCACAAAACGCAGACCCTGGCATTTTTTAATGGCTTTTTGAGTAGAATCATTCATTTATAATCAACTATAATTAATATCTTTAAGTGAAAATTATGGTTGAAATAAAGTCGATTTGATTTGGTAAATACTGATTGTCTACTACATGCATTACACTCTTTTAGGCACCAGAAGAAAGAAAGGGTTTCGCTAAAAAACAATTCTCATACTAAAGTAATTCACAATCTAATAAGGAGATGACACACAGGCAAAACAAATCATCTAAATGCATAAGCAAGGTCCAAGTCAAATGCCACATGATGTCCAAGTGGACAAAGGTCACTTCCGCCTAGTAAAGGTCAAGGAAACAATGCATTATGAACATTTGGTACGTTCCCTTCATTGGACATCTTCAAAATGCTAGGTAACTATTTGTCAGGTAAATTACAGTACGAGTTATAGTTGGTACCTTACAACTTTCAAGCTGTGATTGTTTTTTCTTTTAAATTTTGATGTAGCATTTCAGTTGGCTTTAAAAGGAGGTGCATGTAAATGTTTCAGATACGCAGCCTGCCACACTCCCACCTACTGCATGAATCAAATTAAAATGTAACTGGGAAATATTTAACAAAATAAAGCCATATTAAAATGTAGATAATATTACATTTTAAAATTAAGGTAATATGTGGTTCATAGGGATCTCATGCATGGATTAGTGGCTCTCATTTCTACTCAAATTTAACTCCACTGCTTGAAAGGATACACAGACCAGGCAAGTATGAAAGGTAGAAAGTAGTTCTCAGCACAAGGCACAACAGGAAAAAAGGTACAGGGTATGTTCAGCTGCAGATAGAGTATGTGGAGGAAAGTAGGGAAGGGGTTAGCATATATACAGTGTCTACTATGTACCAGGTACTGTGCTAAGAACTTTCAGAATTACCTAATTTGAGCCTCATAACTACCCTGGGAGGTAGCTGTCTCCAATTTACAAAAAAGAAATTGAGGCAAACAGGTTAAAGTGACTTGCCCAGGGTCACACAGCTAGTAAGTAGCTAAGGTCAAATTTGAACTCAGGGCATTCTGACTCCAGATCCAGTACTCTATCCACTGCATCCCCGAGCTGCCTCAGTAGCACAAGATAAGGTCAGAAAAATAGAGAGGTGGTCAGGTTGTGGAGAACTTCAATGCCAGGCAGAAAAGACTGATTTTAAGCAAAGAAGTAATCCAATAAAAGATATTTTATAGTAGGCAAAGTTGGAGGCTACAGTCCCAGTAGGGAGGAATAAGGTCCTTGAGCAAAGTGGTGGCTATGGGATTAGAAGGGGTGAATGAGATACTACCAAAGTTGTCTCTATAGGACATGAAACAATGCTTTTACTATAGTAGGTGCTTACTAAATGTTGATAACAAATTGGATGTGAAAGAAAGGAGGGAAGGGTCAAAGATAACAGCAAGGTTTGAACATAGAAGCCTGATGAATGGTAGTCCCATTGATAGGAACAGTAAAGTAGGAAGGAAGAATTTGGTTTTCAGTCTGTAGACTGTGAAGAAAGGGATCTTCTAGGTAAACATTTGGACTTAGAAAAATAAATCAGGTATAGAGATGAAAATCTGGGAATTATGTGCATACAGGTGACAGTTAAAGTACCAGGAACAAATGGAATTGCTGATGGTGCAACAAAAAAAGAGAAAGAGAAAGAGAAAGAGAGAGAGAGAGAGAGAGAGAGAGAGAGAGAGAGAGAGAGAGAGAGAGAGAGGGAATGGACAAAAAACCTATTTTACCTATTCAAGAAAAGACAGCAAAGGAGACAAAAGGTATGTTTTGAGAAAAGAACCCAGGGAATGGTGAAAAGTCAAGGGGAAGGAGTATTCAGAATCTTTAATTAACATCTTCTAGAAATACACAATCCATTTTTAAAAAGAAAAAAAATCAGTTTTCATAAAGTTTAAAATCCTCTTTCAAAAGACCATGAACAAAATGCAAAAATACTAAGATTGATTACAAAAATATGACATAAATCTATAAGGAACTCATGATGTTAATGCTTAGAATGGGCTTGCAAAAAAAAAAAACTAAAGACAAAAACCAATTCTTTCTTAAAGGTATGTGTAGAATAGGGTAAGATTTAGAGCTGGAAAGGTCCTTTGATTTCATTTAGTCCAAACCCTCATTTTACAGATGGGGAAACTAAGATCCAAATAAGTTAAATAACTTGTTTAAGTCAAACAGATAGTAAGAGAGCAGGTAATGCGACTCAGGCTCTTCTGAACCCAGACATTTCAAATCTGGGACTTGCTTAGGGAAAATGGCATGTTAAGAGATGAATTGGAATACTCTACCCCTACTTACTTTTAATTTTTCCATCAAGGAGAAACTTTACTTTAAAAAGGATAAGGCAAACAGCATTAACTAAAGCCTAAAAGAAAAATATAAGGAAACACCTAACCATTTTAAATTAATTTCAAATTTGTGACCTAGATAAAATATATCCTACAGTTCCAAAAGGGCTTCTAAATTATTTCCTAGTCATGCAAGTTCTCACCTGTAGAGTCACTTTACACTCTTTCCCCTCCCTCACTCCCATCTCCACGTAACCATTCAACTGACTCTCCATCCAAGTCCTGAGTGATTCTACTTTTACAACATCTCTTATATGTGCTCCTTTTTCTCTATTTCCCTCACCCCTAACTCAGGTTTCAGGTCTTCATCATCTCTCATTTCAACTATTCTAACAGCCTTCAAATTGTTATCCCTGGCTTCTCCAACCCACCCTGTACACAGGTGCAAAAATAATCTTTCTAAGGCAGAGGGCTGACAATGTCACTCACACCCTTGCTATAAAAACCCTTTGGTAGCCCCTTAAAAGGAGGGATGCACAACAAAAGACAAACTACTTGGCCTTATAATTTAAGCAAAATTCTCTATAATCTGGCTCCCACCTTCCTTTCCAGATTTACTTTAGCATTATTCTCCATGAGATGGAGGTAGGCACAGAATGCATTCCAGGCATAAGTACAGCACAGTACAAGGACATAAAGATGGAAATAAGTATAATATGGTGTCAGTAACAGAGAGAAAGCCAGTTAGGCTGGTCTGAAAAATACAGGAGAGAGAGTAATGTATGAAGCAGGAAGGATAGGTTGGAATCAGGTTGCGAAGGGCTTTAGGGAGCCACTGGAGCTTATTGCACAGGGGAGCAACACAGGTCTGTACTCAAGGAAAATCATTCTGGTGGCAGTGTGGAGGATAGACTGGAGTGGGGATTGACATATGACAGAGAGAAAGAAAGAGAGAGAGAGAGAGACCAATGATGAGGCCATTACAAAACTAAGAAGTAATGAGATCCTAAAGTAAGGTGGTGGTTTTGAGGAGAACTAGATGTCATAGAGTTTGAAACAAGACTTGGCAACTGACTGGATGAGGGATGGTGAGGAGTTGAGGATGAACATAGCATAACAACTTCTGCAAGACATCTGATAGACTCTCATGATTTCTTTATGGACAAAAGAAATATGGCTCATTAATTATAATACAGTTAAATGGGTTCATAAGTGGCTGTACAGCCACACCTAAAAATTTTGATTCATTTCTGGCTAAAAGATCTCTAATGAATGGTATGCCACAAGGCATGTCTTTAGCAGAGCTGGGACAAAACACCCCATCCTTAAGCAGGGTTTAAAAATTAGTATACTCTCAGCTTTTGAAAATAGAGTTTTGCATTATTTTCTATTACAAGTTTTAAGACTTTACTGAAATAGGACTTAAGCCATTACTTAATGCAAAATACACATATGCTACAGAAAATAGAATTTTTTTGGCATTAAAAAGTAGACACTGGGGCAAAAAGCATCAAGTCTATACCTGTGATCTCACTGATGTAGAAAACTCCCTGTGTGGAATTTTTCTCCTTATTAATGCAGTTTCAACTCACCTATATAGGCTTTAAAAATTGCTTGGGGGCACCAAGAGGTTAAGTGACTTGCCCATGATCAAACACATAGTATGTGTCAGAGGAAAGACTCGAGCCTGTGTCTTCCTGACTTTGAAGGTATCCATTATATAACACTGCCTTTTCAGGCATTTATAAAATGTAATATTTAAAAGGATTTCTCATTATGACCCTCTCCTCCCCCATAGACTTCTCCATCACTAGAAGTCTTCAGGCTAGATGTCAAGGATATTATAGATATCTCTGGAAATTTCTGCTGAGGTGCTAACTGGACTAAATAACCTACGGTTCTCAACTGAGATTCAACGTAGTCATCCCTTGATATACATAGTTTTCGTTATTTGTGGGTTGTCCATCAATAATTAAATGAAAATTTTTAGAGATTTGTGGTGTACTGCAGAAAATCACAAACAATGCACATATGTAAAGAAAACTTAAAAAAATCTAAGTGATAAATGCATACTGTATATTATTTTTTTAAATTTACTACCATCAATATACATACATAAATCTATTATGAAGTTAAATTTTGTCAAAAGTTTCAGTGCATTAAACTAAGGCTAAGCCAGGGGCGGGGAACCTGCAGTTTCGAGGCTACATGTGGCCTTCTAGGTCCTTGCGCAGCCTTTTGGCAGAGTTCAAGTTTTACAGAACAAATCCTTTTATTGAAGGGATTTGTTTTGTGAAGTTTGGATTGAGTCAAAGGGCTACCCCTGAGGTGGCCTTGAGGCCAGTTCCCCACCCCTGGGCTGAGCATTCTCTTTTGGAATGCTTCCTCTTTGTCTTGTTGCATCTTGTGCTTCTCCTAGAAGGAAATCTGTGAAGCAGCTGCTGCAGTGATACTGGCAGCTGTGACGAGTCTACATAGTGTACAAGACACTAATCTCTCTTGTATAAAATGGGTGCAGTATGTTGTTTTACTTGTTTTGTGTGTTAAATAAATATGATCAGAATTACTAAAAATAAAGATTTGGGGGTGGGGTCTAGAGTTATTCACAGTTTTTCAGATTCACAGGGGTCTTATACCCCTAACTCCTACAAATATTGAGGTACAAGTGTACTGCTGTACCCTTAGCAGCAGCCTGTCTTGTACAATTCTAATTCTTATTCTGATCCTTGGATCTGACCTATTCAACATTTTAATCAGTGATGCACTGAAAGCATATTTGTCAAATCTGCAGATAACAAAAAACTAAAGATAGCAAATACACTAACTGACAATCAGGATCAAAAATTATCTAGTTAGGATAGCTAATTTGCTGAGTATTTAGTGTTCAAGCATAGGTTATAGATAACCCCTCAGGATTGTCAGGAAACTAAATAGAGGGAGAGAGGGAAGGATGCAAGACAGTAAGTGGAAGAGCACAGAGGAAGTATGATTGGATGACAACTAAAGTCTACTCCAGATCTAAGATTTGTAGTGACCCAGGGTCAATATAATTTCAAACTAGTTTCCTTTATCATCTACATGTATACTTATAGTATTTATAACTGATGCTAAAAAGCACACTTACTATAAAATCTTGAACGATAACTTACATTTCTAGAACATTTTAAAGTTTACAAAGTACTTGTATCTGATTCTCAATTCTATGAGTTAGGTACTGCAAGAGATCTGTGATCACACTGATGTGAGTTATTTTCTCCAATAACATAAGTTACAATCCATCCAAGCCTGCTCATCCTGACTGTTCAGTCCTCCCATAAATTCATCACAGAGCGGTCTTCCCAATGTGCTGGTGCCCCTTCCTGAATTCACCTAACAATAAAGCACACAGATTTATTAATTACCATCCTTCTTACCACATGAGCAGCCCATTTTTCTTCCCATGAAAAATTCCTATACCTTTCTTTATATCGTTTCTTTTGACTAATTCCTTACTCAAAATATCTTTCAGACTGTTCAAACTCACCACACACCTCTCCATTGATCTCTGGGTGATTTTCAACTCCATTTCTTTGAAAACTAGTGTGGTATGACTTGTAGCCACATATCACCAACTGAATATTGGCATTAAAATGATGGGCCTTTGTATCAAAGAGCAGTCTGGGATTATTACAAGAATTTTACAATTTCCTAAAGGCAATATAATCTACTCACCTAATCCTGTTCAAATCTGGGACCAGTTCACTGTCCATGTAAAGGGGTTGTCCAAAACACACATGCTAATTTACAAGTTCTTTAGTTTGTCTATTTAATTGCATCAAGTCTACACAAGAGGTATGGTTTATCTACTTTTTTTTTTCTATGTGGATATATATTATACTATTTCATCCTTGCTAGACATGAATAATCAGAGGGTCAAACCAGGTTCCCCATATGATTGTCTCTGTTTTACAGAAGAGAAAACTGAAGTTCAGAAAAGATAAGAGACTTGTCTCCAGTCATACAGCTTTTAAGCAGAAGGGCCAAAAATGAAATACATGTCTCTCGAATCTACCCATTTAACACAGTGCCTTGTCAGTGTGGCAGAAAGACTACAGATCTTCAATGTTACTGTCCTTGTTGTCACTAACTCCCTGTCAGATACGGAACCTAGAGCAAATCACTTCCCTTCATTATGCACTGATTTCTTTACCTATAAAATGAAAGAGCTGGATGGGACAATGACTATAGTCCGTTAGCCCCAAGATTCTTTAAGTCAATCAATTGAAGCTTTATTCTAATTGTTTTAAGAGACATCTGTTTCAGAAATTTCAATTTATAAGGAAGAGCTATCCATATGAAGATTACCTACCTCACAAGATCTTTACAAAATGCAAAAAAAATCAGTGATTTTTAAATGTATGCATGTGGCCAAGAACTTAAGTATTATTCATAAGTGGGATACCTTCAACTATATAGACCAGTCCACTGATCTAGAACACCATGTTATTTTGTGTCTGCATTTCAATAAAAATTTAAGCTAATTAAAATTTTATTATTTAACAAAATTTCTAAACCTGAAGTGAATCAGAATGGTAATTTTCAATAGGCATAAAAATATGTTTTCCTCAGAAAAAAATAAAGATAAAACAGAAAAGATATCTGAGTAAGGCCAGATCTCTTAAAAGTACAATTTGTTCACTGGGAAGACAACATTGTCACATCACTGCAATTCCAAAAGTATCAAAGGATGGGCTGCAAGTAATCTATGTCTTATATTCAGGCAAACAAAAGAGCAGATTCCCTTCTGAAAAGCCTAATAATTTTTTGGTTTACTGATAGTTTCAGAAATAAAAACATTACTGATGCCAATTAGGAAAAATAAAATCTGATAATCGTAGGGAAATGTAGACTACGAGACCTCAAGTCAGAGAACATGGATATAAATTTTGCCTCTGTTACATACCACCTATGTGATTGGGCAAGTCCTTAAACTCTCTGGGTCTCAGTTTCCTCATCTGTAAAATGAAGGGGTTAGACTAGATGGTCTCCATGTTCCCTTTCAGTAGATGTTCCTATATAAAGTAATGCCTCTATTAATGAACAAGTTGTATTCTAATGATTTTTTTAATCAAAAAATGTCATAAGCAGAGGTAGAAATGATACATAAGACAAATGATACATAAGACACAAATTTGCATTTCAAGACAAAATTTTTTAAATCCTTTAACAGTGAATAAAATAAAATATAATATGCTGAAAAAATGTTTGTAAATCTTGGGGAAGGATGAGAGATTTAGGCGGAGGTTACATTAAAATTAGGATAGGTAAGGTAGAAGGATCCTTCAATTCTCAGGAAAGGAAAAGGAGTAAGGAAGTTTAGAAATTATTCACCTGCTGCCAAAAGACTCTGCATTTTGTAAAGATTTTGAGAGGTAGTTCACCTTCATATGGATAGCTCTTCTTCATATACATACATATATATATATATATATGTAGACATATATAAAAAGTATTAAATTTGATCCTCTTAAGAATCAACCCCTCACTATCCTTTTGAGATTGGGATCCCAATTCCATCATCCACATGTTAGTTATCCCCTCTTAGCTTCACAAATTAAGCACATCATCTATGTCTTCATTTAAGTAAATGACAAAAAAGTTAAACAGGATAAGGCCTTATGATACTTTACTGAAAGACTGCAATCATTCAGCCAGTTCCAAATCAACCTAGACAATAATGAAGACACAATAGTGTACCCCCAGGCTATACCCTCATGGAATTCTCACCTACTTCTTTCAGTATCTGGTTCAAGATATTCACTGAATGCCCCCTCCTAGAAAGTCTATATTTCTGGTGACCTCACCAAAGTAATGCCCTCCCTAAATACAGCAGCACCTATTATGATATCTGTAGCTCCAGAATCTGATCATCCTTACAAATCTTCCATTCCTAGGACCATGTTCCTCTACTGCCAGAAGGTCCCTGGGTTAAGCTTTAAGCAACTTCACCTAAGCATCCCTAGTGACCTGAGGGAGGAGAGAGAAGAAGGAATACCTGAAAGATAACCACTAAAATTTACATAAGGCTGTCAGGACTACTTACAAATGAAGAAACTGAAGTGACCTGCCCAGGGTCACATATCTAGCAAGTTCCAGTGATGGAATTCAAACTGAGGATTTCAAGACCAGAGAGCTCCTTTCTATTATACTGACATACAATGAATTTTCTCAGCTCGCCTCTAGAACCTCAAGTAATCTGAAAAGGATTAATTGAGAGGTACCTTCAAGTAGATTATACCAGTATACATGGGGGATTTGGAAGCCTAATCTCAGAATCTGGCTTCAGAAGTCTGAAATTCCTTCAAGGTGCAGAAACAAGCTTTTATTTCACAACCAGAAGCTTTAAAATGCAACCACTTAGTTGCTTCTGTGTGAAATGATCACAAAAAATAAAGTGTAAATGCTCAACTGAATATAAAAAACTGGAACCAATACAACTTCAAATTTATAAGTCTAAGAGCCATTTCCAATACATAAATGTCAAAAGGATACAAACACAAAATTTTTAAAGGAAAAAACCCAAGTTACCCATAATCATATGAAAAATGCTATTAATCTCTAATAATTAGAGAAATGCATATTAAAGCAACTTTGAAGTTCTACCTTCTATCAATTAAACTGGCAAAGACGAAAAAAAAAATGGATGGGCTATGGAAAAATAGGTACAATTAGTGCACTGGTGGTCAATCTGTGAATTAGTCTAGCTATTTTGGAACGAGGCCCATGAAGTTACCAAATTGTTCATACCCTTTGACTTAGCTAAATGATTTCTAGGCCTACACCCCCACAGAAATCAAAGAAAGAGGAAAGGTAACTAATCTAAATATATTATAGTAACTTTCTTCAAGATAGCCCAAAACTGGAAACTAAGGGACTATCCTGCTATCGGAGAACGGATAAACAAATTGTGGTACATAAATGTAATGGGGCATTATCATGCCATAAGAAATGAAATGCACAATTTCAGATGGAACTAGGAAGACTTTTGTTAAATAACATAGAACAAAGTGTACAGAACAAGGAAAACGATTCATACTATTGTAGATAAAAAAAAAACTTCAAAAAATTTTAGAACTCTATCAATGCAATGATAAACCATAGGTCCAAAACAATGAAAGATGAAACACCCCACTCACCTCCTGACAGAGACATGATGGAACTTAAAATGCAGAAAAAAGATATAAATTTTCAGACATGGGTTAAGTGGAAATTTGTTTTGCTGTACATGCATTTATGTGCCAGTGGATTTCTTTTAGGTTTAAAAAACATCTGGCTTCACAGGTTTGATGAAGTAATATAAACAAGAAGGCAAGATGTGCCCAAGATAAGCACGAAGATGAGGAATTTGTCAACATGGAAGGTAAAAAGCATAAGATGTTGGGTACAGAAGAAAAATGTCTTAGATTTAACCTCTACTCCGTGGTTGCAGGCAAAGAGAACCTGTGCAGAGAGGTATTTCCCCCCAGTACAGTTCTAAATTTATGTGGCTGTTTCATATGATTCATAAAGTTTTTCTCATTTTTAAAAAAGTATGAAACGATTTTGTTCCTAGAGAATCAGTAGCTACTTAAATGTCACTATAAGCTAGAAATTACCTACCTCTGCATGTAATGACATAATACAGACAAAATTTAAATGTTCACATTTTCAGAAATTTTATTTAGATTTCTACTAAAAATTGTTCTAAAGTCTAATGTTGGACACTGGTTAAATTACATTTTGCTAAATGATTTCTTAAAGGCAAAATTGTATTGATCACTGTAAGAAAAAGTCTCCTGAATTAAAAATGTCAACTTCTAGTTATGCGGCAACCAAATATTAAACAGAAGACTTGCTAATCACTCTAAAGTACCCCCCCAATATAACAGAAACTGAAGCAGAAAAAAAAATTGTAGAGTACATATTATTTAAAATGGACATGTATACACAGTAAATAAACTGAGACAATGTAATGAAGACAGCTAGATGGCTGAACGGATAGAGTGCTGGGCCTGCAGTCAGAAAGATCTGAGTTCAAATCTAGCCTCAGATACTCACTAGCTATATGACGCAGGGCAAATCACTTAATTTCAATTTGGCTAATTCACTAGAGAAGGAAATGGCGAACCGCTCTGGTGTCTTTGCTAAGAAAACCCCATACAGGTTCAAAAGTGTGAGACACAACTGAATGAATGAACAACAATAAAATATGCAGTAAATAATCTGGGACAATGTAAAGTGGTCATTACATAACTCTACCTCAGCTAACTAAAAACATGGATTTCATGCATTCATCAGACCTTGGCATTCCTGATGAAATGAGATGATTTAGAAAAATAAGAATTTGACAGCCTACTCTGCAGTCTTCTGTTTCAGACTGTGTTTATTCATTGTTAGCATATATTAATAACAAAGCTAAATTATCTCATCTTAGGCTATAAAGTCTTTTTTTTCATTCAAGAACTAAACTCAAATTTGAGGCACAACTTTATGATCTAAGGTCTCATAAAATTTATTCCTAATTACTTTGTGAACATGTTCAATTATTGCTTCCATTCAAATTTTATATTTGTCTAAAATGAATGGGAAATAAAACATATGTTAAAAACAAATCATCATTGGTTAAAAATCATTCTGCAGAAATGTTTCTTTAAAAAATCCAAAGTAGGGGCAGCTAGGTGGTGCAGAGGATAGAGCACCAGGCCTGACTGAAGTCAAGGGGACCTGAGTTCAGATATGGCCTCAGACACATAGCTTGTGTGACTCTGGGCAAGTCACTCAGCCCTAGTTGCCTCACATAAAAATAATAACAACAATAAAAAATCCATAGTAGGGAGAAGTTATTATCAAATTTAGAATGAATGGTTTCAGTTCTGTCCAGCCTTAACCCCAAATGACTCTGGTCCCAGACCAAGCCCTACTTGGTCACAGTTGCTCAGAATGAATTCGAATAACAATTATCTCTTTTGGCCAGAAACCCTGAGGGTCCTCCCCTCCCAGATCTACTTTTTTTTTTTTAAGAGGCCATTTTTGCCTCATTTCTTTAAAACCTTAATCACTGACTGAATGGCAGCAGCCTCAGCCAAACGGAGACCTGCTAAAGGCCTTAGCTTGAAAAGGCCAAATGCATCCTGGGCCATCTCCAGTCATCCTGATCCATGTCTGGCCACTGGACCCACATGGCTCTGGAGGAGAAAGTGAGGCTGGTGACTTTTCACAGCTCTCTCTCACTTAAATCCAATGCATTTGCGTGTCATGACATCACGTCTCTGATGTCATGGTCCTCTTGTAGAACGAAGGACTAATAGCAGCAGCAGTAGTTGTGTCCAACTCTTTGTGACTCAATTTGGGGTTTTCTTGGCACATACCAGAGTGGTTTGCCATTTCTTTCTCCAGCTCATTTTACAGATGAGAAACTGAGGCAAACAGTGTTAAGTGATTTGCACAGGATCACACAGTTGGTAAGTGTCTGAGGCTGAATTTGGATGAGTCTTCCTGACTCCAGGCCCAGAATTCTATCTGCTATGACACCTAGCTGCCCCACTGCACCACCTGGCAGGCATGTTAAACAATAAAGAAAATTAAGTTTTGATGACCTGTACGTTTAAATTCTAATTCTGGGACCAATAGTATGGTCTGTGGTTATGTTAAAGATCACATTCTGATTGTTTTGAAGACCATTTTAACTTCAATGTAATGAGCAGGAGAAGCAGTATGCTGTAGTAAGGCACTAGACAGAATCAGAAAAACTGGGTACCAACAACTAGCTCAGCGATCTTGGGCAAATCACTTACCTTTTCTGGGTCACAGTAATCTCATCTGTGACATAAATGGTTTGTAGAAGATCATCTCTCACGTGCTCCATTCTAGTAGTAAAACAATCAGTTTTACTATCAATGTAGTTTCCTAAAATGGAATTATTAATTTTGAAATACTCTGCCTGTGGAAATTAATAGTAAAATATAAAAAATTACTGAGGATGTTGAGAAACTGAGCCACTGAAAAGTATAAGCTCTACAAATTTATTAATTCAACAGACTTTATATATATTAAAGGCTAGGTATAAAGGGAAACAAAAATTATAAGCACACACATACACATGTTCAAATCCAGCCTCAGATATTTATTAGCTGCGACCTTGGTCAAGTCACTTAATCCTGTTTGCTTCAGTTCCTCATCTGTAAGATGAGCTGGAGAAAAAAATGGCAAAACACTCCAGTATCTTTGCCAGGAAAACCCCAAATGAAGTCATGAAGAGTCGACACAACTCAAATGACTGAACAACAACACAGTAGGAAGGTTCTCCAGACGCTTCTTTGCACATGACTTTTTTTTTTTTAATTTTACTAATTTACTTTGATTTATCAACAATCACTTCAATATTCTTTTCAGTTGAAAATTTTTCTCTCCCTTCCTCCCCCCCACCCTCCCAAGATGGCACACAATCTGATATAGGTTTTACATTTACATTCCTATTAAACATATTTTCACATCAGTGAAGTTGTAAGTAAAAATTAAAACCAATAGGAGGAACCATCAGAAAGATGAAACAAAACTCAACAGAAGGTAAAAATAAGTGACAGAGATTCAACTTCCATAGTTCTTTCTTTGGATGTGGACAGCATTTTCCATCACGAGGCCTCTGGAGATGTCTTAGATTCTTGTAATGCTGAGAAAGCTTCGTTTTAACAATATTAGTCATCACATAACGTGGCTGTTATTGGGTACAAAGTCCTCTTGGTTCTGCTCACTTCACTCAGCATCAGACCATATAAGTCTTTCCAGGTTTTTCTGAAGTCAGCCTGTTCATCATTTCTTAAAGCACGATAGTATTCCATTATATTCACATGAATGCTCAGCCATTCCCCAATTGATGGGCATCCTCTCAATTTCCAATTCTTTGCCATCACAAAAAGAGCTGCTATGAATATTTTTGTACATGTGGGTCCTTTTCCCATTTGTTTGAGCTCCTTGGGATATAGCCCTAGAAGTGCTATTGATGGATCGAAGGGTATGCACATTTTTGTAGCCCTTTGGGCATAGTTCCAAATTGTTCTCCAAAATAGTTGCATCATTTCACAACTCCACCAACAATGTATTAGTGTTCCAATTTTCCCACATCTTCTCCAACATTTATCATTTTCCTGTTTTGTCATGTTGGCCAATCTGATAGGTCTGATGTGGTACCTCAGAGTTGTTTTGATTTGCATTTCTCTAATCAATAACGATTTAGAGCATTTTTTCATATGACTATAAAAGGCTTTAATTTTTTCATCTGAGAAATGTCTGTTCATATCCTTTGACCCCATTTATCAATTGGGGAATGGCTTCTATTCTTATAAATTTGTCTTAATTCTCTATATATTTTAGATATGAGGCCTTTATCAGAGACTGGTTGTAAAAATTCTTTCCCAATTTTCTATCTTCCTTCTAATCTTAGTTGCATTGGCTTTGTTTGTGCAAAAACTTTTCAATTTAATGTAATCAAAATTATCCATTTTGCTTTTCATCATGTTCTCTATCTCCTGTTTGGTCATGAATTCTTCTGTTCTCCACAGATCTGATAGGTAAACTATTCCTTGTTCTCCCAGTTTACTTATAGTATCAGCCTTTATATCTAAGTCATGAACCCATTTTGACTTTATTTTGGTATATGGTGTAAGATTTGGGTCTATGCCTAGTTTCTGCCATACTCTTTTCCAGTTTTCCCAGCAGTTTTTTTCAAAGAGTAGGTTCTTATCCCAGAAGCTGGGGTCTTTGGGTTTATCAAATAATGGATTACTATAGTCATTGACTACTGTGTCTTACATATTTAACCTATTCCACTGATCCACTCCCTATTTCTTAGCCAGTACCAAGTAGTTTTGATGATTGCTGCTTTATAATACAATTTAAGATCTGGAATTGCTAGGCCACCTTCCCCTGCATTTCTTTTCATTAGTTCCTTTGATACTCTGGACCTTTTGTTTTTCCAAATGAATCTTATTATTTTTTCTAACTCTATAAAATAATTTTTTGGTAGTTTGATTGGTATGGCACTGAATAAGTAAATTAGCTTAGGTAGGATTGTCATTTTCATTATATTAGCTCGGCCTACCCATAAGCATTTTCCAATTATTTAGATCTGATTTTATTTGTGTAAAAAGTGTTTTGTAATTGTGTTCAGAGTTTCTGGGTTTGTTTCGGGAGGTAAACTCCTAAATATTTTATAATGTCTACAGTAAGTTTAAATGGAATTTCTCTATTTCTTGCTGTTGGGCTTTGTTGGTAATATATAGAAATGCTGATGATTTATGTGGGTTTATTTTATAGCCTGCAACTTTGCTAAAGTTGTTTATTATTTCAAGGAGTTTTTGACTTGATTCTCTAGGATTCTCTAAGCATATCATCACGTCATCTTAAAAGAGTGATAGCTTTGTTTCTTCTTTGCCTATTCTAATGCCTTCAATTTCTTTTTCTGAGATGGGGTTATTTTAAGTATTTTACTTCCTCTTTGGTTAATCTGGGCAATTTATATTTTTGTAAATATGTATCCATTTCACTAAGATTGTGAAATTTGTTGGCATATAGTTGGGCAAAATAATTCCTAATTATTGTTTTAATTTTCTCTTCCTTGGTGGTAGCTTCACCCTTTTCATTCCTGATACTAGTAATTAGGTTTTCTTCTTTTTTTAAATTAATTAACCAAAGGTTTATCTATTTCATTGGTTTTTTCATAAAACCAGCTCTTAGTTTTATTTATTAGTTCAATAGTTTTCTTAATTTCAATTTTATTAATTTTTCTTTGGTTTTCAATATTTCTAATTTAGTGTTTAGTTGAGGATTTTTAAGTTGTTTTTTTTCTAGTTTTTTTAGTTGTATGCCCAATTCATTAATCTCCTCTTTTTCTATTTTATTTATGTAAGCATTTAGAGATATAAAACTTCCCCTAAGAACTGCTTTCACTGCATCCCATAAGTTTTGGTATGTTGTCTCATTATTGTCATTCTCTTGAATGAAATTATTGATTGTTTCTATGATTTGTTGTTTGACCCAATCATTTTTTAGGATTAGATTATTTAGTTTCCAATTATTTTTTAGTCTATCTTTCCATGGCCCTTTATTACATATAATTTTTATTGCATCATGATCTGAAAAGGATGCATTTAATATTTCTGCCTTTCTGCATTGGATTGTGAGGTTTTTATGCCCTAGTACATGGTCAATTTTTGTGTATGTGCCATGTACTGCTGAGAAAAAAGTATATTCCTTTCTATCCCCATTCAGTTTTCTCCAGAGGTCTATCATACCTAACTTTTCTAATGTTCTATTCACCTCCTTAACTTCTTTCTTGTTTATTTTGTGGTTAGATTTATCTAGTGCAGAGAGGGGAGGTTCAGGTCCCCACTAGTATAGTTTTGCTGTCTATTTCTTCCTGTAACTCCCTGAACTTCTCTAAGAATTTGGATGCTATACCATTTGGTGCATATATGTTTAGTAATGATATTACTTCATTGTCTATGGTGCCTTTTAGCAGGATGTAGTTTCCTTCCTTATCTCTTTTGATTAGATTTTTTGCTTTTGCTCTGAGATCAGGATTGCTACCCCTGCTTTTTTTACTTCAGCTGAAGCATAATATATTCTGCTCCAGCCTTTTACCTTTACCCTGTATGTGTCACTCTTTTTCAAATGTGTTTCCTGTAAACAACATATTGTAGGATTATGGTTTTTAATCCATTCTGCAATCTGTTTCCTTTTTATGGGAGAGTTCATCCCATTCACATTCACAGTTATGATTACTATCTGTGTCTTTTTCTCCATCCTTTTCCCCCTATTTGTACTTTTCTTTCTCCTTTTTCCTTTCCCCTTCACTAGTGTTTTGCTTTTGACCACGCCTCCTTCAGTCCCTCCTCCCTTTTATATCCCTTTCCCTTTTCTTCCCTTTACTCTTACTGCTTCTTCCCTCCCTTCTCCCCCCCCTTTTCTTTCCCCTTTTCCCTCCTACTGCCTATAGGGCAAGTTAGATTTCTATACTGATTATGTTATGCCCTTCTTGAGCCAAATCTGATGAGAGTAAGGTTCAAACAATGCTCCCCCCCCTTCTTTCCCTCTGCTGTAATAGGATTTTTGTCTTTTCCTGTAATGTAATTTACCCTTGTCTGCCTCCTCCTTTCTCAGTACATTTTCTAAGATCAGATTGATCCACTTATTTGGATCCATTTAACCCACTTGATTAGATTTTTTTTATCATTACATCAAAGTCAACTAATATCCACCCTCTTTATGTATACTCCTTTAACATGGTGTAATAACAATACAGTTCTCAAGAGTTGCAAGTGTCATATTCCCTTGTAGGGGTTTAAACAGCCCCCCCTTATTAACAACATATTGTATCTTTCTGTCCCATTTACCTTTTTATGTCCTTCTTGAGTCCTGTACTTGAAGATCAAATTTTTTGTTGAGCTCTGGTCTTTTTATCAGGAAAGTTTGGAAGTCCCTATTTCGTTGAATATCCATCTCCTCCCTTGAAAAATGATGCTCATTTTTGCTGGGTAGTTGATCCTTGGCTGCATTCCAAGCTCCTTTGCCTTACAAAATATCATGTTCCATGCCCTGGTCTTTTAATGTAGAAGCTGCAAGGTCCTGTGTAATCCTGACTGTGGTTCCATGATATTTAAATTGTTTCTTTCTGGCTGCTTGCAGCACCTTCTCTTTCATCTGGTAATTTTGGAATTTTGCTATTATATTCCTTGGCGTTGTCAATTTGGGATCTCTTTCAGGTGGTGATCGTGGATTCTTTCTATGGTTATTTTCCTTCTGGTTCTAGGACTTCAGGGCAGTTTTCCTTTATGATTTCCTGAAAGATACTGTCCAGGCTCTTTTTTTCATCATGATTTTCAGGTAGTCCAATAATTTTTAAATTGTCTCTCCTGAATCAGTTTTCCAGGTCGGTTGTTTTACTGATGAGGTATTTTACATTTTCATCTATTTTTTCATTTTTTTGTTTCTGTTTGACTGATTCTTGCTATCTCATAGAGACATTAGTTTCCATTTGTCTAATTCTAGTTTTTAATTTTTTTTCTTTCCAATTCTAGTTTTTAGATTGTTTTCTTTGTTAGTTTTTGTACTTCCTTCTTCAATTGGCCAATTGTGTTTTTTAGGGACTTGTTTTCTTCAGTGTATTTTTTTTCCAATTGGCCAATTGTATTTTTGAAGGACTCTTCTACCTCTCTCATTTGACTATTAAAATCCTTCTTGAGCTCTTCTAAGAAGGCTTTTTGGGCTTCAGACCAGTTCATATTCCCTTTTGTTGTTGCAGATGTGGGTTTGTTGACAATGTTGCCCTCTTCAGAATTTCTGTCTTGATCTTTACTCTTCTCATAATATGAATCTATGGTGTTTCTTTATTCCCTGGCCTTTAAAGAGATTGAGCTCTCCTGCTGGGGGACAGAGGGCACTGACCCAAGCTTCTAGTGTTGGGAGCCTAGGTCTTGGTCACTGGCTTTGTATGCTGGGGCCTCTTATGTTGGCAATTGGAGGTTGTAGGCTCTGGCAGCTTACCTCATTTTGGGCTGGAATCATTAAGGCTGGAACTTTCAGGCAATTCTTAGGTTGCCTGCTTTTCCTTTCCTTTAGCTTTCTTTAGCTCCTTTTAGATGGGTGCTGCAGGGTGTTTATCTGCCTGGGGCCCCTTGTAATGCTGCCTCCCTTGTTTCTGCTGATGCACTGGGAGGTTCCTTTGTGGTAGAGTGCCGAGGCACCTGGTGGTTTTCTGAACCGGCCTCCACCGTTTCCCCCGCCCTCACCAAGGCACCCAGAGGTCCAAGTGTTGGTGCTTGTCCGCTCCACCACCTGGGCTTCAAGATCTCTTCCTGGTGTTCTGACAGCTTACCCAGTGCTAGACTGGAATCAGCAAGGCTGGGGCTTTATGAAGACTTTAGGTTGCTGTCTTCAGCTCCTTTCAGACAAATGCTGCAGGGTGCTTATCCGCCTGGGGCTCCCTGCAGTGCTGCTTCCTCCTATTTTTGTTAAGGCACTGGGAGACCCGTTTGCTGGGCTGCTGCACTGCTGCTCCCTGTCCTTCTTCCAGTTCAGCTGTTCCAGAGGTTTTTTTCTGGTGTAATAGTTTCTGGGTTTTCAGAGGTTGATAGGGGAGAGTGAGAGCAACTACCTTTTCACTCCGCCATCTTGGCTCCCAGAAGCGTAGTATGATATTTCGTTAACTACATCAAGCCTAGGAAGGCTTCGAAGCCTCCTAAATGATATTAATTATCAAGTCTGGCCTACTGATCTATTGGGGGGGGGGCAAGCAGATGAAGAATGCCTATTGAGCAGACTATAATTCAGTTGTATAGATAAACCATAGTATGTATATGTTGAACAGCCACCTCAAATGGGCAATGGTCTAGTTCTAGAACTTCCTGGGAACAGGAGAATGGGCTGGGGTGACTTTGGAAAATAACACAATGTTTTTAAGTTTGTCTGTGAAACAAAGGTTTGTCTTTTTACCCTAACATTTTCTTACAGCACAGTCTAGAACTCAACTCTGCTTAAGACATCCTATTTTGTCTTACATTCATTTATACACACACACACACACACACACACACACAGGATTGTTAGCTCTTTAATGACAGAGGTCCTTTCATCTCTACATTCCCAGCGTAATCATTTTTACATACTTACTTGAATACTTCCAAAATCTATTTCAAGTGGGTACACTGCAGCAATGCAGATCACAACCTGGAATTGCTTAGAGGTGGTTCAATGGATTACAGAAGCCAAAAATTAACAGATTTCATTTTCTTTCCAGTCCTTTAGTGAAGGGATTCTAAATATAGTTAGCTAGGCTAGACCTTGGAGACTAGACATATAGGGTCCATGCTCATACTCATGGCTTTTTCAGCTTAGCAAAATCTATGGTGGCCAGGACTTTGAGTGATTTTTTTCAAAATTTTATTTATTTATTTATTTTTAGTGAGGCAATTGGGGTTAAGTGACTTGCCCAGAGTCACACAGCTAGGAAGTATTATGTGTCTGAGGCCGCATTTGAACTCAGGTCCTCCTGACTTCAGGGCCGGTGCTCTATTCACTGTGCCACCTAGCTGCTCATGGCCTGCACTTTGCAGGCATAACATTTGAGGATTAAGGAACACCTCTCCTGAAACAATGAAGCATTACAGTGGGAACTCATTGGGTGTCTTGAACAATGTTGTTGTTCAGCACTTTTTCAGTCATGTCTGACTCTTCATGACCCCATTTGGTGCATTCTTGGCAAAGAAAGTGGAATGGTTTGCCATTTTCTTCTCCAGCTCATTTCATAACTGAGGCACTGAGGCAAACAGGGTTAAGTGACTTGCCCAGGATCACACAGCTAATAAGTGTCTGAGGCTAGATTTGGACTCAGGAAGTTGAGTGTTCCTGACTCCAGGCCCAGCACACTATGGGGTGCCTATTGTACATAATAGATGCTTATAAACATTTGTTGAAGGGTTTTAGGGCTGAGAAAAGAAGAAATTAAACTCTCACCAGTCTTAACAATTTTACATTCCCAAATCTCTAGCCATTCTATTCTAAAAAGTTTAAGTTTCAGTTTATGAACTAGCAAGAAATTGAGGCAGGCCACTTTCACACTATTTATGAAATGAGACTAAGCTCTCTGAGAGCAGGTACTGTTTTTTGCCTTTATTTGGATCCCAGTGCTTAGCACAGTGCCTGTCACTGAGCAAGCAATTAATACATGCTACTTCACTGAAATACTGAACTATATCCAGTTTAAGTTTTTTCTAAAAATAATATCATACTTGGATTTCTATGTTTAGTCTCCTAAGAAATGTCTTGTTTGAGGCTGTGAATAGGCCCTCTCTGCAGTCCTAGGATCACAAGATTGAAAGCTTGAAGGACCCTTAGAGATCATCTAATCCAACTTCTTATCATCATACAGAAAGTAGAATGAATGACTAGTGGTCTGGCAAAGTTGGGGATGGGGGAGAAGAGAGGGGAAGCCCACTATTCCTCATACATGATTGTACTGTTTACATAATGCTGCATCATGGAATACATTATAAATTATTTAGAAGGAAGTAAAATTTCATGAATTTAGACCTCACAATCTGCGATCACCTGGTCTGTGCTCAAAGGTTACTGACTCAGAGTTTGTAGAGATCTCACACCACACTAAGGCTTACTTTTTCAAACTTTCTTCATTTGAAAAGATCCACCAAGCAAAACAATAGCATAAACACGATGTCAATTTGGTTAAGACGGTAAATATAGCTGCTAAGTGAAATATGAGTAACACTTATTCCCTAAAATTAAACGAATATTATTCCTTCCTTAAAATAAGTGTTTTGCTTTTCTTTTAATACAGCGGTCCATTAAGTTGGACTTCCCCCATGACTGTAAAGTAGCAAAACTTGTAATTTAGTAACAGAACACTGGATTAGACTGACTTGATCTTTATCATTCACGAAACGCTTTTCCGCTCAAAACACAGCGAAGCAGACAGACCAAGATCTCTATTTTACAAACGCCTAGTCCATGCTTCTTTTTAAGAGTCATGATTTCTTAGTCGTATTTAAGAAGGGCAGGGAAAGACAAGATGATCGGTGCCGGCCCCCGACCCCGGGAGAACTAACACTTTAGACCCTTAAACCTTCCAAACGCACGTGCGGAGCTCGGGGCTGGAAAGGCTGCGAAAGCTTCTCCCAGCGCCCCCCGCGTCGCAGGCCAGCCTGGAAGTGCGGCCGGGCTGAGGAGACGGGAAGGGCCGCGGGGCTCCCAGACCCCGGGGGGCAGCAGCCGCTGTCATCTGTCCCCACCCTCAGCTTCCCGGGCCTGCTCCCCCTTTCTCCCACCCCTTCCCCTTCGTCAGTTTCAAGAACTCCTCGGCGAAGATTGCCCTACTAGCCGGCGTCCTCCCCTCCTTCCATCACGTCACCATTTTTATCGGCCCAGGAGTCCCGTAGAAGCCGTCCCGCCTTCTCGCTCTGGATCCAAGTGGACCACGGCTCCCAGGGACGCTATTCCGTCCCTACCTCCGGGGCACCGTAGCTCGAAGAGATTCGTATGCCCCCCCAGTCTCCGCCCACCGCATGCGCAGAGACCCCTCCCTCGGGCTGTCGTCGCTTAGCAACTTCCCTGAGTCCTCTCGCTAGGGGCGGAGTCTGCAAGGGAGTGGAGAAGCGGTGAGGGGAACGGGGAGCGGAGCCAATCGGAGACAAGTCCTGGCGCAGAACGCCACGCCTCTTCTAACTGTCGCGAACGCGCATGTGGCTTTACGGCAAAGAAGGGGGGGTGGGGGAGCGGGGAGAAGGCGGAGAGAAGAAACCAACCAACCAACCAAGCCACCCCCACCCCCACCCACCTCAGACCTGGTTTACGGCTCCAGGCTTAGTCCCCTGTGAGGCAGCTGATTGGTTGGTGGGGGGTTGGTCCCTTCCCTGTGACCCCAAAGTGCTGAAGGGGGGCGGGGGTGGCCCTGTGCAAAGTGCACCCAGAAAGCCCCCTGCCTTGAGCCCCCTGGCCGGCACCTTCCCGCCTCCGGCACCATCAAACCCTGCAGGAGGTGATTTCTTCCTGCCCAGAGACCTTCCCGGTCCCCCCACAACTGCGGCGCTCCTGCCCCTGACATCGGCAACCCCCTGCCCTGAGCACCCTAACTGGATCTCCCCCCTTTTTCCTGACCTGGACTTCCTCCCTCCCCCACCCCCTGCCTTGAGGTTCCCCTAAATTAGGATTCCCTCCACCCCCTCTGCTGTCTTGATGCTCGCCGGGCTGAGACGGAGGCGCTGAGAAGAATTGGAAACACCAAGTGATTTGGCCCTGAGGTGATTTTTTTTTAAATGGAGAAGTTGGTGGCTGCGGTAGCCGCTGAAAGGAGAAGAAACAGCTGAGGAAAAAAAAGGTAAAAAGTCAGTTATCTCCTGGGGGTGGCGGGGAGGGGAGGGAGTCATTTCTCCTTCCCTCTCACTCTTCGGTCCTTTGCCCTCTTTACCTTACCTCCGCTTCCTTTCCTTCTCGTACCCTTTTTACTCAGGCACTGCACTAACTGAGTTCTACTTGCTTGTTTGTTTGGTTGGTTTTTTTTTTTTCCAGGCTAACTGGATACCTAAAAACAGGAAGATTTCTTCTGCCATTTACCCACGGAGAGGCAGTGAAAGTGGGACCAGCTTCCAGTACAAAGGTAATCATGATAATCTTCCCCTCCCCCACTTAGTTAGTGGCTACCCCTACCCCCCCCCCCACTGCCTCCTGTCTCTGTAGTCAGTGCTTTATTTTTAGGGTAGAACCAAGGGAATATTCACAATCCCCTCTCCTCACGCCAGCAAAACAGAAACACTGTCTTGTGTTCTAAGCCTGAACGTTCAATAGCTTCCCTGCCCCAGGGACTGTGTTTTCCCTACTCTAGACGGTGTTTTTCTATAGTTTATGTCATCTTTTCTTATATCTCACTTACACTTTGCTTTGCAGCTTTGAGACCTTCTGTGCCATTTTATTGCTACACCCATAGGAATTTCACAAATAAATTGTTTTGCTTGTTAGTTCTGTGTAACTATAGTTTTTAAGTAAACTGTGATTTATAGTCATTTTCTCCTTTATCACTAGCCTAGCTTCATTCCTTCCTTATCGTCAAAGTTATCAACCCTGAAATTTGGAGGACACTAATAAATAGTTTGAAAATTGATGTAGAATAATCTAAGTCCTAGAAAATGTATTGATTGTTGTTATGTATAAAATTAATCTTTATACTTTGAATTATTTGCAGGCATTACTTTTGTGAGAACAGCATATAGAGAAATAATTATTGTCACTCTTTTTTGATAACTTCAAATTTGAGATGTAGATAATGGACCTTGAAATTATTATCAAAGCGGAACGTAATGCATTTCAGGATTTCACAAAGAATTGTTACATCTCAAAATATTTTGACAGCAGTTCATTCTCCATTTTTTTTTTCTAAAGAGAGAGAGATGGTTAGCATTAAGGTTGGTCAGATTTATCTTAGGCCATGGTCTGATTAGAAATATGGGACTTTATTTTGGCAGTCTTCACAGGTGGCCTGCTTTTAAATGGAAAAATTTTGCAGAAAATGTACTGCTACTATTTTAAAACCTAGTAAAGGAATTTAAAAATCCTCCATTTTGGGGTTATATTATTGAAAGTGATTGAGAGGTGTATTTAGGCATTTATACATATAGCCCATACACTGGAAAATTGGCCAGGAAAATTTTATGTAGGAGTTGGCCAAATGAACAGTGTGTTTCTGTCATACAATGACATTTAAGGATATAAAATGACTTCTATTAACTTCTTTTATGATCTTTTTAATATTTCAAGTTATTTAATATGTTTCCTTTTTAGTTACAGCTACAAAGCATCACTTAATAGCAAAGGGAGTTGATAGGAAGTCTTTGCTTCATCTAACTATCCTGTGGCCTTGTGCCTGCCTTGTAGAAAACAAAAATTGTGTCATTAATGGGCCTTTCCACTGTCATTCTAAGATAATTCCTCTCTGATGTGTTGCATTTATAACTACTATGAACCTTACAGGGAATTGACTATCAGAGGGAGAGTGTACTGTACTGAATACATTTTACAGTTACTATTTACTAATGAAAGTAAATAGTAATGGTGAAAGTTTAATGCAGTCCCTTTTGCCCGTTCACACACTTTTGCATGTGTTTGTGTGGGGATAGGGCATAAGGATGCATAAACATGTGTAGAATCAAAGACAAAGATACTTGCTACATTTCAATAAAATTAGGCAGGACAGTCAAGTTAGGGAATAAGTTTCCACATTGAAATATAAAAATTTTAACTGTAGATAGTATATATGTTAGGATTTTTTTCCTCTAAACTCTTCAAAATGACGTACTCTTTGTTATTCAAGCTTTCTCACTTAAGCGTGTTTGGAGCTTAAATTTAATAGAGCATATTCCCTTCTGAAGGATCTTTTTATATTCATTTGCTAAAGTACTACTAAAGCCTCTTTAGAGTACGCAAACAATCCTGGTTTCTAGAAGGGGGTACTGTGAGTGAAGCACATCTCTGGAGGGAGCTATCAAGGTGGAAGGACATGTAATTCAAAGATAGTCTTAGTTAAATTTGGAGAGGTTCATCACCAGAAGGTTGACTACCAAGTGATAAACTCATTTGCCCATAGCAACACATGAAGACCAAATAAAACATGTAAGGGTTGTGATCGGCATTGGTAGGGATATCTACACCAGTGAAATCAGGGGTTATCTGACATAATGAAGATTTTTTTTTAAATGATAGTTCTACAATTAAGTCTATAATTAAAGTGTAAATCTAAAGTAAGGAAGGTTTGCCTCCTTACCCCACAACTTAACCAGTCCATGATCTTTTTTTCTTTGTATTATACCTTTTTAAATTTTGTTTCATTGATTTTTAAAATTTGTTGTATGTCTTTAATGAGTTGTTTAGCGGATAAAAGTTCTAAACATCTTTTGTGTCTCTTAGAGTGTAATTGGGTCATATCTGAAGGGAGGAGTGGGAGGTAGCCCTGTGCAAAGTACACCTAGAAAGTCCCCTGCCTTGAGCCCCCGGCTGTCAAAGTTGTGTCAAAGACATTATTTTAACCAGTTCACTGAAATGTCCTTTATTGTTCATGTCTTAATCCTAATAGGATTTTTTTTTTAGTTCATTAACTCTATTGAAAGACACATTTGAAATTATTTTGAAAAATATATTTTGAAAGACTTACCTAATTTCCTTGGTAACCATAAGGTGATTATAATTTTGTAAAGAATATTTGCCATCATCATATTAATGAATGATATGTTACAGTGCATCTTTGCCATGTTATACAGAATTTTTTACTATACCTGAAAAAAGTAATAATGTTTGTAATTGTCATCTTTTTAATTTTATTTTATTCAAACCTTGGGTGATTGTGGAAGTTTGTAAACACATAAAAATTAAAAGCCAGATATGGCTCATGTAAGCAAATCTAATTCTTGTAGCTCTTAATTCTAAATTAAAATTATCCCTAGAATGGAGTAATCACAGCTTTTTTCCACCGAAGATATCTTCAGACATTGACACATAAGACTCCTTAAAAGAAGTTTATCCTGCTCATTTCCATTCTAGACAGATATGTTCAGCTGTGATCCATATCAATCCATATGTGATATGGATAGTATTGATTGAATGTATTCTAAATTGAAGTCTTTAGAAATGAAGCTTTGTGGGGGTTTATTTCCCTCTATTACTTTGTCACTAATTTCTGGGGTTTTTTTTAAAGTCAGGAAAATTAGAATTTGGATTTTTCAAAATTTCTGGGTGACTGATATATGTTAGTTTTTCCTATTCAACAAAGAAGTGTTGAAAGCTAGAAGATGTGAGGGGGTAGAGGTTTGAATATATTAATTTATCTCCTTGGAATGAAAATTGGGAGGCAATTGCTATTTTTTTTTTGTTGGATCTGTGATTTCGTCATTTTAGGAAGCTCCTAGTGAGGAACTTGATCTACCAATGCAGATCTGCACCTGCACCTGCTCTGAAACATATAATGATAAGAGAATTGCCTGGACATTGAGAGGTTAAATGACTTGCCCAGAGTCCTGCCATCAGAATGTGTGTAAAGGCCTTACTTGAACTTAGGTCTTACAGATTGCAGGGCCAGCTTTCTAATTAGTTTAGCAAGCTGCCTTTCTCATATTAAAATGTTCACATTTATTTTTTATACCATTATTGACTACATAAAAGTAACAAGTCATTTTATATCTCAACAAATAATTTTTCACAATAGATTTGAACATAAAATATTTAGACATACTATTCTCTATTTTACAAGTGTGAAATAGATGTTTCCTCGGAAAGTCAGCATCACTGAAGTTACTGATTTTGTTTCTCTGCTCCCTCCCTGTATCTCTTTACTTGGGAAAGAAATGCTTGTTTCTTTTTTTGTGGAGCAAGCTGTTATCTTGTTTCTAGTTTGTGTGAAATCAGAAAGCACAATTCTCATTTGCATCTTCTAATCAAAAATGTGTTTGGTTTTTTTAGTAAAAATTATATGCAAAACACTATTAATGACTAATCACTTTTGTAGGATCGGATTTTATAAAAACGATATGACTAAATTAAATGAAATTTATTTTTTGAAATTTCTGTATTTGTTAGTAGTTTTGTGCTTCTCATTTTAAGAATATAGGCATTTTATGAACGTTAGTAGCAAGGCATTTTTATTACAACCAAATTCAATTTTTATTTGTCATTTGTGTGGAAATGAGGTATAATATTTCTTGAACTTTTTAATTCACAAGGTTTCTAATATGGTCCTCAATATGAAAAATTAGGTTGGTTTCTTTTGGCTCAGTGTCAGCTGAAACAAGTGAACCTTTAGAATGAAATTTTAAATATTCTTTTGAAATAAGGTAGACAGTTATTTCCAATTTAAGATAACTTAAAACTTCTTTTAGCTGTATAATAATACCAGTAATTTGCACACTTTGAAATTTAGATTCATATGCAGTATTTAGACACATCCTCTCAGAGTTGGAAGGAACCCTAAAGATCATTTAGTCCAAACCCCTCATTTTATAGATGAGTAAATTGAGGCCTTCAGAGATACATAGCAAAGCTAGCCCTCAAACCCAGGTCCTCTGGCTCTCAGTCCTTACTTTTCATCATAGTATAGTTCCTAAACAGCTAGTATTCTTTTTTTCCTTTCTTACACTGTAAAACTGGTCTTTCTGATAAATGTACCTGTTTTTCTTCTAATTTCTTGGCCTTGAAGAATGATATTTATGGTTATTAAGCTACAAGTTTCAGTTTTCTGTGATACTGAATGCCAGTAAGGAGAAGTTGTTGTTATTATAATTTCTGTTAAAATGAGTTGCATCAAATATATCTATCAAGGTTGAATCAAACATAATTTGCTATTTAGAAAATCATCACTTTTGACTTCATCATGACTGCATGGAAAGTGTACTATCAGATGCTAAGCTTGGATTTCATGAAAGAAAGCAAACCCATTGCTAGGTCTTGTCTTTAGAGTTGACTTCTTGTTCTCTTGTTTTAATAGTGCCTCAGATAGTGTGTTCATTTCCCCTCTTACCTTATTTACATAGATAGGTAATTAAATGAAGAAGAAATAATAGTAACATAATTCACTATTAGCCTTATGCTTCTGGCGATCAGGATATATCTGGTTACATGTCATTGGCCTTTACAGTTGAAAATGGTTTAAGTGATAGTGATCTCCACCTATATGTGAAGGTATAACCAAAAAGACTGATTTACTGTGCATATGCAAAGAACAGTTTGTTTTTGTTGTTGAGGATGCAGCCAATATTTATAGAACTTGGCACAGTGAGAAAAAGGGATAAATAATATTGGAAATAGCCAGTGTTATTTTATTTGTTTCAGTTGCCCTAAAATTATATTTTATTAGAATATAACCTAAAGAAAACAATTATAAACTATCCAACATCTACCATCATGTTCAGAATAGAGTAAGTGCTTAGTAAATCCTCCATTGGTTAGTTGATCTGTACTGGCTGTAATAGGGCCAAAAGACCCATAGAATCCCAGCTACATCACAAGTCAGTATTATTTATGCCTGTTTTCCAAGATATGGGGAAATAACTTAGTATAATCTCAATATTAACAATGACTATGTCTTTGTGCACTACTAAAATATATTTCACATCCCCCCCTCTGTCTTCCTTGTTTTCTCTTCTTGAAACTGGTAGGCAGAAACCAAGTTTAGGAGCAATAAGGATTGGAATTATGCTGGAACATTTCTGCTCCTGCTGGGTACTAAAAGCAGTCAAAGGCATTATGAAAAAAAAGGCATTTGGTGGCATTTTCTCAGAAAAAGTGGGCACAGTTTAATATAAAGATTGTTAAGCCCTACAGGTTAAAGCATTGTGCAATAATTATCATTGGAAGTGTTTACTAAACACCTCTTTGCATCTGGCATTACATTAAGTACATACATCAGTACATTTGCAAGAGGCATTATGGTGAAATATATCAAAGAATATTGGGATTAGAGTCAAGAAGACCTGGATTAAAATCCTACTTTATGTACTTGATAGCTTTGTGACCATGGACTTAACATTGGTTAAATTTAGTTTCCTCATCTGTTATATGGAGATAATAATATATCTTGCCTCATGGGTTACTATGAGGACCAAATGAAATCATTTATGTAAAAGCACTTTACCATCCTAAAATCACAATATAAATGCTGGCTATTATTATCATCATCATCATCATTATTATTGATGTAGAAATACTTTATATGCTTAGTTTTAAAATAGTTTCCACTTTGGAATGTTTTATGTAAAGGAGACGTGTGTTGAAATATTATGTGGAAAAAATGAACAGTATTAAAATTGGAAGAGACTTTAGGGCACATCTGATGGATACTTAAGCAAGAATCTCCTCTCTCTCTTATTGGTTTGGATAGTTGAAACTCAAGATTTCCAGATAGAGCTCAAAGCCCAGAGAAATAGCCTTTGCTCTGTAACATCAGAATGCTAAGTTTTTCCTAGCCCAACTTTGCCCATTAATTTCATCGATAGTGGCTGTTTTCTGTGTCTTTTCCTCTAAGGTCCCTTCCAACTCTGTGATCCTATGACCTGAACAGACGTTGACAACTATACTAAGATGTATAAGGGTAACCTATATAGTTTTGTGTTAAAGATGAGTGAGTGTACAGGCTCTGGTGTGATCTAAATGAAATTTGCAAAAATTTTAGATCTTTAGACACAAAGATAATTCCTTGATTATAGTTCTGCATAGTAAAAGTCAATATGGTTTCTCTTTTATTTTTCTAAATAGCTAATATTTAATTGATATAAAAAAGCTCCCCAATTCGCTGTTTATGGAGAGTAATTATCAATGGTTTAAGGTAGCAGCTTACACACAGCTGTTGTCTTTGCTGAACGTGGTTTGGTATACGGGTAACAAAATAACACTTTCAAAGTTGTGAAACAATGCCATTGACAATCTCAAAAAAAAGTTTTCAAGAGCCAAAGTTTGGAGTTAAATTTTCTTTTAAAAAATGAGCAACAGTGCTTTTATTTTTTACCTAATCATCTACTTATTGAATGTATATGTATTCACTTTAGTTTTATTTGGAATGAGCAAATGACCAACTATAAAGTTTAAAAGTGATTCTTGTAAAGTAAGACAAAAGATATATTCTGAACATAGAGAGAAGTGTTTCCCTACTTATTTCCATTTCCCAGAAGTATCTGATTTTATTTATTTATTTTTTGAAACTGCCTTTCCAGGGAAAATATCCCTGGAAAAAATATCACATTCAACAACCTGGATGAGAAAATAATTAGAAGAATTTCTATAAAAATTGGCCTTAACTCTTTTTTTCCTATGTGAACAGGAGAATTGTAATGAAATTTGAGCTTATCAGAAAGAAGAATTTGCAGATACATGTCTTTGTATAGTTTTGTGAAGAGATTTTCCTGTGACAACTATTTTTTTTTCATTAAAGGTAAAAGAACCGTATTTGCTATGTGTTCTGGACACCCAAATTTAGCAGAATTCCCCAAATTGTGCCTTATGAGCACAATGATCACTGGCACACATAGCAAGAGAAGTGAAATTCTTCAATAAGGTAATCTTTTGATTATGGGCGAAGTTTTACCTTTGCTGAGTTATATTTGTGGGAAAAAATTAGTTTTTTTAAAAATTATTGATATTTTTTGGTTTTATATTACCTCCATTGCCAAATATATACCTGCCCAGAAAACCATCTTTTTTAACAGTGAATAAAAATAGAAAGAAAAAACACTTCAGCAAAACTGACCCAACTTATTGTTCAAGTCAGACATACAAAGTCAATCCTCAATGTTCACAGGGGTAACATTGCTAGAAAACCACACAAAAGTAGAAAAAAAAACGTGAATGTTGGTACATTGAACCTATAAGAAATAGGGGGGTAGGTTCCTATGACCACCAAAAACTAATCTTTTGCTATAGATTGCTGAAAATACACTTTTATGCTAAAGTTCTTTGTAACAAAACATTAATTCTGATAATGTGTGCTTTTCCTAACACAGTAACCATGAAATAACCCATAAAATGATGTATACAAAATAAAATTGGTAACATGCAAAACATTTTTTCTTGCTAGCAATTCCCTAGAATTCTGTGACCTTTTGTGCTAATAGCTCAATAAAATAAAAACATTGATTTTAGATAATATTCACTTTTTATAACACATGAAATCTACAGTACCATAAATACTATACAGCAAATAAAATTCTTAAAATTAAAACATTTTTTAACCTGAATCTTACCTTCCACTGTGTCAGATAGTAGTGTAAAGATGTTGTACCGTATCCTATACTGTCACAAACCTCTTTACTTTGGCTGCCCTCTGAGAACCAAGGGTTAGGTTCCTGGGACTTTAGTTGCCAATTTGCGTGCATTGTGTGTTTCATTTTTTTTTTCCTCTATTGCTCATAGTCACAAATGTGCATGGTTGCCAATGTGAAAGTGAAAATAAGGTTACTAATAAAATCACACAAATGAAACAAAATCACACACTAATAAAATCACAAAAAATGCAGTAATATTGAGCATATACATATATATATGTATATATGTATATATAACCATAGTCTTCCACTTGTTCAAAGAAGAAAGATAAATTTTCTCATCTCCTCTTTGAGTCCAGGCTTGATCATTATAATTATATAGCATTTTATTTCTTATCTAAATCTTTTACTTGCTTTCACTATAACTTGATTTATACTAAATCTAACTCTCCGTACCCCAGTATACATTTTGGTACTTTTTAATTTCTTTTCTTGCATGAAAGACCTCACTTACAAAAATCAAAGAGCTTTAAAAAACATTTAAAACTGGTAGTTGCTGTCAAGATAAACTGTTACTTAACTAGTCAGTATTTCCATTAGATCTAGCTGATATGCTTCGACTTTTTCTTTTCTTATTCTATATCATTTCCTAAATGGTATGCAATGTCTTAAAAATTCTAAGTCAGTATTTATACTTTTAATTTCCAAATTTATGTAGTTTGTGTCACAATGGAAAAATCTATTTGGGCAAAATGATTAAAAACAGCATATTTAAAGTGAACAGAGATAAGAAAGTTACTAATTTCTCAATTTTCTTTAAGTATCTGTTTGTCATCATAAGACTAGTTGATCTGAATTACATCCCCTGTTAGCCAACATTATAAAAATACATACACCAACATAAGTTTAACTTAAATATTTGAAATTGTGATCTTTCCACTCTGAATAAAGAAAAGGTTTCCTGAGCAAATTAGCAGTGATTATAGAGATCATTAATTCATGTACTTAAAAAGGAATAAAATGAATTTCTTTTTAAAATATAGTTCAACCCATTCACTAATTCAATAGTACTTTTCTCTCTCACATTGGTTTGCATTAGTGATATTTTAATTATTTTATATAGTTACTTACCTGCTTTCTATTTGCTTCCAAAGTGATTCTATTGACTGTTTTAAGTTATGTGCCCTATGGCTGTCCTTATATTAGACTTTTTCATAAATTTTTTTCTCCCATACCATTTAGTCTACTGGACTGTCTCATATCATAATGTTTGATATATTCTTTCTATTGTATTTGTAGTCTTAAAATCGTTCTGAAAGAATGAATTTGTGAAAGAATGTAAGAAGAGGATATGACAACTAAAGTGGGATAATAAATCGTGTATTAGATTGACATGACATGTTATAGATTGAGATGGAAGTAAGAATAAACAGAAAAGAAAAATACTTACCAAAAACCTGTGAAGTATATGTGTTCTAATTTTCCTTAAGAAAATAAATTTTTAAATAGTACTTATTGTTAAATATGAATTTCTTCAACCTCTTTTTGTAATAAACTTTACTCCTTGCACATTTGTCATGGGTTATACTGACCCTAATTTGTTTGTGAAAAATAGTCCTTTATTCATTAAAAGAGGTAGGATAGAAAAACTTTGCATAGAAATATTATCACTATTTCTTTTAATAATTGGTTTTTGGTTAAGAATAAGCATACAGACAGAAATACAGTTTTGGCCTGTGAACAGACTGTTCTGTTTTTTAATGTTATTGTAGTTCTCATAAAAGTTGTCACTGAACTTCTTTTCCAATAAGGGTTTATTAAATGTTTTATCAGTGATTTCCTTTTCTGAAGAGATCTTTCTTTTCTGTTTATTGTTCTAGGCTTTTCTTCTATGGATTTTAAGTTTTGTCTTTCTGGCTAATGTTTCTTTTGTGTCATAGGAGTACTATTTTATAAATCGTGATTGGTGTAGAATTTTTCAATGGCATATTACCTGTGATTCTTTAATGCTTGTACCTGGCAAATCATTTTCTCTTGCAAACTACTTTCACTACTGGTACAAATATCCTATCTCTTTGCTGGGCAAGGCATTCATCCTTTGTAATAGAATTATTGAATGTGAAGGTCATTTATGTTGTGTTTCAGTAGGCCAGATCTCAGTAAGTGGAGAAAGAACTTTGCATTTTAGGTTTCAAACCCAGTCCATTTTATCATTTGTTGTGCAATCTTGGGGAAATTGCTGAAATTTTCTATTTTAAATTTATTCGCTTACTTATTGGATCATATGTTATCTGTTTACTAAGGATTTTGAGTTTTAACAATGTGAAATTCTTTAATCTTATTTTATAAATGTAACATCAAAAGAACCAAGTATTTTGAGTTGTGTGTTCTCCATTTGAAGGTGAATCCCAATGACCCAATGAATCTTTTGTAAAAAGTCGACTCAGCTAGGATGTTACACCACCACTGTCGAAGGAACCCTGAACTACAGGAAGAATTACAGATTCAGGCAGCAGTGGCTGCTGGGGATGTTCACACAGTACGAAAGATGTTAGAACAGGGCTATTCTCCAAATGGCAGAGATGCTAATGGGTGGACCCTGCTTCATTTCTCTGCAGCAAGAGGAAAAGAAAGATGTGTACGAGTATTTCTTGAACATGGAGGTAAGTGTCCTTTTCTTTCCCCAAAATTTTACTCCCAAATGTAAGCTTGAAATTACTTGTGAGATAGTTTTAGTCTTATGGCCCATGGAATTCCTTGTCATTAGTAATTAGAAAAATTTTTAATGTTCTACTTTAGTGGTAATTTTTTTCCTCCAATTACCTTCTAATTCTACTGAGCCCTGATTAGCACCAGATTTTTTAAAAAAGGGACCCCCAAAGTCTATTTGCTGTTTTGCTATCCCACTTGATAACATTGCCAATTATTTTGTTGCCTAACTTATTTTATTTCAGAAGCAGAAGTATAGCCCCTTGATCCCACAGTTAGACATTTAGACAATTTTTTCCCCACAAATAATTTCTCAGATTCAGCCACCTACTAGAGGTCCCCTTATAAATTATGCTCTTAAGTCTTACTATAAATTACTCTTTGAATTTAGTTCTATAGTGATACTGGTTTAGTTTTCCTATTTATCTTTCCTAGTATTGCCTTTAGTTTTAGTTTGTAGGCATTAGAAGAACCTGGTTCAAATTTAATATGCTTATTATTTAGTTTACTTATTATAGGCCATTAGACATTTTTTATCCCAGCTTTTTTTTATAAGCCTTATAAATATATGTCTTACTTTTTACTCATTTATCTAAAATTAATTTTCCTTGCAATTAAGTCTCTTCATACTTTTGTCACTTACCCAAAGATATATATTGTATTACCTATTTGTCTGAATTTTCTTTGTAAATTACAAACTAAAGCTGTCTTCTCTCATGGCATATAAAGTAAATAATAGGAAATAAGTTAAAGGATGTAGAGCTGGAAAAGACCTGGAGGTCATCTAGTGTAGAAAAATTCAATATTTTTAACATTAATACAAGTCTGTCAGAAACAAATTTATTAATTATCTGTCTAAGCATGGTTGCTGAATGAAAGAGAGAGAAGGGGAGAGGGAAAAGTCAGGTCCAGGGTGTAATATTAGGGTTCATTCACCTATGTTGATTGCAGGAGAAAACTGAGGACACCTCCTTTGGCTAACAAGGGCACATTATCTCTGTGCCCCCTTGCTCTTGGGATTTATCCTTCTAGTCTCTTCAAAGGTGTTCTCAGGAGTTAATTCTTTTAGTTGATTCAATGACATTTCTACTCTTTGTTCATCATAGACAAGATAAATTTTTTTTAATTTTCAGGAGGATCCTTCCCTCAGAATAGAGTATTATTTCCTTGGAATTTTGTATATTGATATATTGATAAGGTTTTCTATTCAGACTAGCACACTATCAAAATATTATTTTCTTAATATTTAATAACATAAAAAGAGGCCTTAGTGCTATATGCTTCCATACTCCCAGTTTTACAGATGAAGACCTTGGGAGCTTAAGTCTAAGGTTCTGTAGTTACATAATAGACATTTGAACCCAGGTCTCTTGATTCTAAATTCAGTGCTTTTTTTTGGCCGTGTCACACACATGTAATTTTTTTACAGTGTACCAGCATATTAGTAATAACCCACTTTCATTTATAGAACATATTCTATAATGGTGTAGCTAGACTTTGATTCTAACATTTGCACGATGATTTTTTAAAATTAGAGGACCTTACTGTTGATGTGGCTATGATCATGAATGAAATAAAAGTTAGTGTTAACTCTAGGACTAGAAGCCTTTAAAAATAGCCTCAAAAAGATAATTTAATTCAATTACTCGATTTTGGAGATGAGAAAACTGAGGCACAGAAAGTATATGAAACTAGGTCTTCTGAGCTCCTGATTCTCTCAATTTTAATATATCTCTGGGCTTTGGTATGGAGGTTAAGGGTCAGGAATGGTAGACTCATTGACTTAGTCTTGCGACAAACTGAGGTATTTGGTTGTGTACAGTCAGTACAATTTTTACACGTTCATTTTTATTGTCTTGCTGCTCTCTCTGCGTCTCCTGCTTACACCTCACTTTTCTGTTACTGGAACCATAGCCTATTGGTTCCTATTCTGGTTTTGCTACTATTATTATTAATGTTTTTTTCCTTCTCTCTCTTTCTCTCTGTCTCTGTCTCTGTTTCTCTCTCCCTTTTTCTTCCTTTCTCCATCCCTCCCTCCTCTTTCCTTCTCTTTCTCTTTTTTGCGTGCCTGCATATGAAATGCGCTGTATAGGATGTAAACTTCAGTGTTCCTTCTATATCCTTCAAAGACTTTCCATGCAAATTATATAAATACTTAATTTAATAATTCCTTCATCATATTATCCCACTACTTGTCCTTTTTGTAGTTTTTAGAGTTGTGCATTTCCTTTAGAACATATTCTTATCATTGGCAACCCTAAGTTCTTTTACACCTTAGAGTCTGGCCTATTGAGGACCTACCTAAATATTCTCTATACATTTTACCTTCTGAGATAATGCTTCTATGTCCTATTATTATCTTTTCTACTGCCTGCTACAATCAGATGTGATTATTCTTAAGAATTGTATATGCCTTAGGCATAGATTCTAAGTAGAAACTACAATTTCCCCAGCCTACTCTTTCCTGTCCCTTGTTTTCTACTACAAATCTGCCTTTTTCTTCCTGCTAACAACCTTCTCCCACATATAAATGATCTTGTCAGTGCTGAAATTAGTGTTGCTATGGTGGTCTTTGATCACCATCACTAGGATCCAGAACTGCTCGGTAATGATACTCTAGATACATGGAAAGGTAGCTGAGCCTGGGCCTAGAAAGAGACTAGAAACTCTTCTTCAGCATATTCTTAGATCTAGAGCAAATTGATTCAAGGGCAATTAAACAACTTCAGGCACCAGAGCTGTGTCCCCCTTTAAAGAAAAGAACTCATCTCTTCTTTTATAGTGATTGTAAACGCTGCCTGTTTTCGTATAAGCATCCATAAAGTGGGCCTTAGGAAAGTATCTGAATTCAAAACTGCTAGGAGCTGCATGTTAATTATTTAAGAGTTTCTGGCTGTGCAGATGAATATTTGCTACCACTGCTCAGTTGATCGTTGGGCTAAAATGAATAAAGCTGAAAGTAAAATGAATGAGCAAGATTTTAAGTATAAAGAAAAAGCACTCTTGATCCCAGGGAAATTCTCTCATTTTACTAATAAATAAATAAGGTTGCTAATGAGGCTTCTCTAAAATGTAAAATTTTTATTGCCACATGTTAACTGCTTCCCCATCTTGTTATTTATTTAGCCAAATCTATTTTATTTAGTAGCATTGAGATTTGTTTGTTTGTTTTAACAATATGAGATGAGAAGCACTGTTATATAATTAAAAGAACAATGAACTTAAATCAGTAGTTCTGGATTCTACTCTCATTTCAACAAAAATTAACCATCAATTATTTGTGAAGCACTGTGCTAGATGCTGAAGATACGATGGCCAAATGAAAATGGCCTTCAAGAGCTTGTGTTTTCCTTAACTGTTTAAGGGATATAGTATTTACATAGGTAAACACAAGGTCATTTGAGAAGGGAGAGAGTATTAATAACCAGAGAGATCAGGACAGGCTTCCTGTGGGAGGTAATACCTGAGATGAGCCTTGAAGGAAGCTTAGGATTCCAGAAGACAGGTGAAGTGGGAGAGTGCTCCAGGTACATGAGACAGCATGTACTGAAAGGCATGGCAGGTGAGAGATGGAATGCCAAGTTCAGGAAATGGCAAGTAGACTAGTTTGGCAAGAACAGAGAATTCATGAAGGGAAGTAATGGCAATAAGTCTGGAAAGATAAGCTGGAGCCAAAATGTTAAGGGATTTAACTGCCAAACAGAAGAGTTTATGTTTTATCCTAGAGGCAGTAAAAAAGCCACTGAAATTTTTTGAGCAAGGAGTGATGCAGTGAGACCTGGATTTTAGAAAGATTTTTTTTAATTTTGAACTCAGTTTGTGACTGTGAGAGAAGGAAACAGATGGGAGAGATGTTGTGGAGGTAGAATCAACAAGATTTTTGATAGCAAGTAATTTGATATAGTAAATAAGAAAGAGGGAAGATTTGAGGATGATTCCTAGGTTGTAAATCTAGATTACTTGAAGAATCAATCAATTCATAAACATTTATTAAGTGCCTGCTATGTGCCAGGCACTGTGCTAAGAATGGTGGTAACCTCAGTAGTAATAGGGAAGTTTGGGAAAGGATTTTAGATGGTTTTGAAATTTTGGTTTGGTGAATTTTTTTGTGAATGGGGGTGAGGGTGGGTAGGTTGCTATTTTGCAAGACAGTGGAGATGAATTTTGGATATGTTGAATTGATGATGCTTGTGAATAGCAGCTATCTAGAAGCTGGTGATTAGAGACCCATAGAGGTTTTGGAAATAGCTTGTGCAAAGCTGATAACTGAACACATGGGAATTGATAAGATCACCAAAAGAGAATATAGGGAAAGGAGAGGAGAGGGCCTGGGACAGTACCTTTAGGAATAGCACAGTTAAAGGGGTGGGACACTAATGATGATCCAGCAAAGGATACTAAGAGGGAACAGACAGGAGAACTAGAATAGGTCATCATAAAAGCCAAGAAAAAAGAAAATTATCAAAAGGAGGAGTGTTGTATCAACAACATCCAAAGCTGTGAAGACAAAAAGGGTAAGGGCTGAAAAAAAGATCAGATTCAACAAATAAGATATATGACCTTGGACAAGTCATTTAACCCCTTTAGGCCTCAATTTCCTGTAAATTTAAAGTGTTAGACTAAATAACATTTATGTTTGCTTCTAGTGCTAAAGCTCTGTGGTTCTATTCTAAAATGATTGCTTAATACTTAAGTACATTGAGATGTAATGCATGTTAACCATACTTAGCATTGCCGTCATTGGACAACAACAGACACACACACACAAAAATTAAAATATGGGTAAAAATTCCATGCCCCTTCTGGATCACTGCCTTGTTGTGGCAGAGGAGCTTGTGTAGTAGCTCAGTGAAACTGAGCTGTGCCATGAAGAATTACCCAAGATAGACAGGTCATAGCAGAGAACTCTTACAAAAAGTGAAGCGTGGACAGAGGTTCACAATATTGTACAGGA